TGTTCCATGTTCCATGTTTCATGTGCCATGTTCCATGTGCCGTGTGCAATGTTCCATGTTCCATGTTCCATGTTCCATGTTCCATGTTCCATGTGCCACGTGCCATGTTCCATGTGCCATGAGCCATGTTCCATGTTCCATGTTCCATGTGCCATGTGCCATGTGCCATTTTAAATTAGTTCCATTTGTGATATTAAAAACCATTTTTTCGAGACCGTAAACATGTTTGATCAACTGTTCAGACTAGAACAAATTATGTTTAAAAATGTTATTTTGTTTCGCCAAACAAGTAAGCAGTTGTGTTCTTTATTTTTCGTTATAAATACATTAATAAACATTTGTGTCCGTTTCATACATGCTGAAATAGTTGGAATGCAACAAATTGAAAGCTCAATAAGTGTGGACAATTAATTAGAATTAATCATTTTACCATCTAATATACAGCCAATTATTATTTAAAAAAAAACTTTTCAGCGCTTTATGAAATTGATTGGATCAACCACTGTGCGAGCAAATGCTGCGTATTTCTTTAATGTTTCCGACAACAAATAGTTTAATATTCAACAAACAAAAATTTATTTCAGAGGTATGCATGTGATAATTGTGATGTGCACTGGAGCTAAAAGTGTAATAAGTGGCAAGATGAAAATGAATTCATAACAAATATTTAAAAGAACAAATAATAGGTACATCAAATTCAATTTGGGGGAAAAAAGTAAAGAAAATAAACAAAAAACTGAAGTATGCATCGGGTACACTTGACATTTCCAACCGCTAATACTAGATTCGACCTCTATTATCCTGTAATATCCTAAGACTTGCGAGCAAAGATTTGCTCCTTGAAGCGCAGCGCCGACTGCTTGGCGGGATTGTGTTCTTGCTTGGATCGCTTCCTGGACATCCCCGAGGGTCCTGGCTCCTCGCGGAAACCGTGCAGCTTCGGTGTGGGCGGCAGCTCGCGGAAGTACTTCTGCTTGGGCGTGCAGGGCTCCACGCGCACCAGACCCGAACTGGTCTTGATCAGCTCGATCTTGGGGATCTTCTGGACGCGCTCATTGACCACCGTCACGTAGCCGGCATTTGTGCGGATGCGATTGACCCCATGGCCGTGGTTCTCCTCATCGGAACTCTTTACCGGCGATATCTCCGGCGTCTTTTGTTTCTTCGCCTGCTTCTTCGTCTGCTTGGCCGCCTTTTTTTCCGCCACTGGCGGCTGTGGCGACAGCTTGCGTGAGAGTGTGCGGGGCTAAAGGATAAAGGGTTGGTATTATAGGTCTAGTTTGGCCAGGAAAGTTTACTAGTTTACTTACCTCTCCATCTGTGGCTTTTGTTGGAGCGAGGAAGTTCATGGCATGGTTCACAGCCTGGCGTGCTGCCTGCAGGCGCTTGATATCCTTCTTGAGCGGCGGTGGCTGCTCAGATGGCTTCGCCTTCGCTGCTTCCGGTTTGGAGCTAGTGGTGACCAAGGGTTTGGGAGCCGCTTGAGCAGCCAGTCGCTTTGGCTTCTTCTGCTTGGCTCCCGTGGCCAGTTGCTAAGGAAAAATATATATATTTTTACATTAGTGGAAAATACATTTTCGAACTTTAAGCAACCCACCTCCTTCTTCTCCTTCAACTTGGCCTGGTTGGCTGCCTCCAGGAGGTCCTGACAGTAGGCTAGGTAAAATTCAGCATTTTTTTCCTTCTTGACCGGCAATTTCTCAGCCGCCTTAGTAATTTCAAGCGCTTTTGTCACCTCTTCGGCTGGAGGCGGGTCGTGGGAAGTTGAGGGCTGCTCCGAGGACTTTTCTTTAAGGCCTTCTGCCTTTTCGGGAGATTCCTCCACACGAGTTTTTGGAGAAGAGGAATTGGCAATGATTTGATCTGGAACTTCTCCCTCCGAATTTTCCACCTCGCTTGCAAGTTCCTCGACAACAGCGGCCGACTCGTGGTCCTGCTCCTCCAATGACTCCGTGGAGTCACCATGCGAACTCTTTAGGCGCTTGCGCTCGTGTCGGATCTCCATTTCCTCCAGATCCTCGGGAGCGCCCGACAAGCTCTTCGACAGCCGTTTGCGCTTGTTCTTCTGTCTCTTCTTTTCGGCCACCATCTCCACAAAGGATTGCGAGGGGCAGAAGTCGCTGGCCAGGTTGGCACGATCACTGCGGCGTCGCAGCTTTGGTTCCTTCGCCGGCAGCTCGGCACTGGCCACGTACAAGGACTGGCGACGGGACTTCTGGAGCGGATTGAACATGGTGGACAGGTGGCGCAGATCACTAGAGGCCAATTCGGCGAGAAGTGCCTCTTCGTCGGCCGATTTGAGGGATTTTTGGGCCTGGAATGAGGTTGGTTTTGGAATAGCAGAGTCGCCATCGGAATCCAAGAGCTCCTCCACTTCATCGGAATCCTCGACCTCGTACACGCTTCTGGCCCTGGGCTTCTGCGACTCCTCCACGACGTCGTCGTCGTGATCCGAGGAGTCCACCTCCATGACGGTGACGTCCAGGCGCGTCTCTGTCTTGTTGAATCTCTCCGACTTGTTCAGTTCGTTGAGCGCCACTTGGCGGGATCTCTCGAGCTCGGTTTCCGAGACCAAGGACTTCTCCTCGCTGGCATTCATCAGTTGGGCCGCCTCGCTCAGTTTGCTGGCATCGGAGGAGCAGTTGCTCTGGTTCTTTGGCTTCTCCGATTTGCTCTTGTTTGACCCCTCCTCGTGTGTTTCTTCAAGATGCTCACTATCACTGGAACTTGGGACCATAATGCGACGACGCTTGCTGCTGGACTTCTCGGGTTTTTCAGTAGAAACCTCTTCGATTTCGTCCTCGTCGGAAAAGTAGCAAAGTTGGCCCACCTCCTCCTCCTCATCGACATCGTTGTCCGAGACAATAAACGAGTCGTCGCCCTCAGATTCTTCTGGGGTCGACTCCTCAGTGTCCTTACTTCCAACCGACTCCCCGTCATGTGGAATTTCATTCTCCTCCATCTCGCGGCGCATCGAACTGTCCAACGAGTCCCCAGACTCGTAATCCTCCCCAGCATCTTCGGCTTCCAGGTTCACAAATTCGGGATGTGGTTCCTCTTCCTCGTTCTCCTCCTCGTCTTCTTTATCCTCCACTTCGTCGGAGCTTTCTAGGCGAGCCAGGATTTTGTTGTCAGACTTTTTGGCCGCCTGCACCGCCTCATCCTTGGCATTCTTTGATTCCAGCTCATCGAATGACTTAATGGCATCAATTTGGGGCGGAGCTGGCTGCATTTCCGCCTTGCTGTCCTTCAATATGGGCGTGGAACTATTTCGACCCTTTTGAAGGGCTGGTTTTAAGGGAGTCTCCGGCTTGGGAGTTAATGTGCGGTAAACTGGCACCTTCTCACGTCCGGGAGTCTTTGGAAAGCGTGTCTTTTCGACCTCCAAATCATCGGTGTCGTTGTTGAAGCCCACCGATTTCTTTTGCTCGCCCGCAGGGGAGCCCACAAAACGAGATCTGATGCCGGGAGTTAGGTTCGGTAGACGAATGACCTCTGTTATATCTACTCTGTCTGGCTCATCTACTTCCATGGCTTCTACTTCGTCGCTGGCTTTTTCATCCGCCTTGGGAGTCTCCAGTGAAACTTCGAGCTCATCGTTGTCTAGATTGATTATCTCCCGTTCCTCTTTTTCCATCATTGGTTCAGTCTCAATGTGCGATTCTTCTGCGTCCAAAAACTCTTGATCCTCCATGGACTCGTCTTTTTCGGAGCTTGTGTCTATCAAGTCAATAGACGCAACCTTCTGCAGAGTTTCGGGTTTCTTTTCCATTGTAGTTTCAGCTTCCTTCTCAGTTTTGGGTACCTCAATGGGTTCAACCTTTTGAGGAGTGTCGATTTTCTTTGCCTCTACAGAAGTTATCTTTTGCGGAGTTTCTATTTTTACATTTTTGGGGGCTGCATCGATAGACTTGGGTTCATCTACTACTGTAGGAGACTCAACAGGTTCAACCTTTTGAGGAGTTTCGATTTTCTTTGCAATCCTAGCAGGAGAATCCACAGATGTTATCTTTTGCGGAATTTCTATCTCTACATTTTTAGACTCTACTACTTCATGAGACTCAATAGGCTCAACCTTTTGTGGAGTTTCGATTTTCTTGACATCTTTAGGAAACTCAACAGGCAGAACTTTCTGCGGAGTTCCGACTTTTTCCTCTTCAACCTTCTTGGAATTTTCGGTTTCCGAAGAATCTGCGCTAAAAGCTTTGCTTGAAGCCTCGATTTGGGCAAGCGTATTAAATGTCTTCAAGAAGGATTGTTTATCCTTGGCAGGACTAACGTCTGTTTTCTCGGGAACCTCAGATTTTTTCGACTCCTCAGCGGATTCCTTTTCCTTTACCTTCTCCGGCAGAATCAATTGCTTGGCCACCTCCGCCTTCTTCGCCGAAGCCTTATCCATGGGCAGTTTCTCCACCCTGACTGCCACCTTGGGCGTGTTTCTGGTGAGGATCTTCGACTTGGCAGGCTCCACTTCTTGTGGCGTGTTGCTGGAGGAGCGAGTGACCATTGGCGGTGTTTGGGACATGGAGCGAGTCACGCGCTTCTCATCGCTGTTCTGTGTGGGCGTGGCCGGGCGTCTGGCCACGGGACTTGGGCTGGCACTTGGCTTCCGCTCCAGTTTGGCACCTTTTGGCACGGGACTGGCACTGGGACTGGGCTTGACCTCCACCTCCTCCGGCTCCTCGGTGAGCGTGAGCTGTTGGCGCACCGATCTGGTGTTCTTGGCCGGCGTGCGAGCCGTCCGCTTCACGGAGGAGGGCGTAATGGGCTCGGGAGTCTCGCCGCGGGCCAAGGAGGCGCGTCGGGTCCTCGTCGGAGTGCGCACATCCAAGGTGGACGAGTTCAAGCGAGTGCGGCGTGTGGCACGTGGCGAGGCGGTACCTGCGGAAGGAGAGTCTTAGCAGGGGAAAGGGAACAGGAATGTGGATGGAAAACTTACCGCGCTCTGCGGCCGTATCCAACTGGGGAGTACTGGGACGGCTGTCCGTATCCAAAACGGACAAGCGGCGTGTGCGAGCCCGCGTCACTACCATTTTGGTTAAGGGAAAGCAAAAAGGAAATCACTTAATACTTGTGAGCTATGCTAGGAGCCTCGGAAAAAAGTGAGCAGCTTGGGAAAACGGGGCTCCGGAAAATGGCCGACTTGGGAGCACCGGCCTTCTTGTCCCGTTGCTTTCTCATTTCTCACCAGCGCCCGCTTCGAAATATCCACTCACCGCGCTTTCCATCGTCGTTCTCCGTATTATCCTCCATTTGGCTCGGCTCTGTTGTTTTCAGCACACAAAAGTTAGTTCAAATCAGAGAGTCTTTAAGCCGCAGGCAATTTAAAACAAAGAAAAAGAAACGAAGACGCCGAGCCAAAAAGTGAATTTCACATGTGCCGCAAACCGAGACGTTAGCCAACACTTGGCGCGTTTGTGTAACGGCCGTTACAATTTGAATTTTCAAGGCTTCGGGGGTATAATGCTAAAGCCCAATGTGAAATCGCAGCTCTTGCAGATAACTTATCTCTTTTTAATTAAATCGTATTCGTATCTTTTTTAATTGTTGGTAAAAACAGTGAATAAGTGGCCTACTTTAGACGCTGTGCAGCACTGGTCTTTTTCGGCCATCGAGAGGCCGTTATCTTTAAACCGGATTTATCGCTCTATCTAAATTTAAATTATGACAACAGCCAAACTATTTCCGCCCGGGGATATCTCGTAATGAAGTGATTAATTTGATTTTAAAGCCACGAGCGTTAGTGCGCGCATATTATAGGCTCTCATCTGGCCAATGGTATTTAATTTGTCCGTTTCCTTTAAATTTATGTTAAGTATCCATTAGATTAGTAAATATTCTAAAAACATCTCCGATTGGTCAACATTTTTCTAATTTTTTCTTAGCCAAGTAAAATCTATTACTGTTTTTATTTACAACTTAACCGCTTTTATAATTTAAAATTCCATTAAAATTCCCTACTTATGTCGCAAACTACAGCATATTTTGCTTCGCTATCTCCGGATTAAACTGGCTGTTGTACTTTTGGACAATCCTGGGTGTGGGAGCTGGCGTGGAGGCGGCACTGGCGCCCACAGCGGGCTCCTTGGGAGCAAACAGAGCCTCCGAGCGCTGGCGCTCCGCTGTTTCCCGTCGCAGGCGTTCCCTCCTCAGCCTCTCCAGCTTTTCTCGCTTTTGCCGTTCGGCGGCCAGAAGCGTTTCCTTGGAATCCTTTTTGCTCTTGTGCCCCTTGTGTTTCTTGTGCTTGCCCTGCTTCTTGTCCTTCTTGCTTTTCTTGGGCTTGTGGGAGATTGACGCTTCTGGCGGGGGAGTGGGTGTCCTCTCCCTTTTTCTTTTGGTGGCGCTTTTGGGATCCTTCTTCTCCGGCGGCAGCAGGGCATTGATGAGGGTCAACGGATCGTGGGCTAGCTTTTGCTTGAGATATGCCTCTGTAGCGGCGGGATCCCCCACTTCTGGCCTTTTGGGCGCCACCTCGTACCAGCTGCGCACCTTGAGAGCTTCATTGGTGTCCTGGCCCAAGTAGGTGAGGTAGCCGATCTGCTTCTCGTACTTCTCCTGCTCCTCCTTCTGCTCCTTCTCCAGGTCCTTGTTGGTGGTCTTCACGGCACTCTTGTAGTCTGCAAAGAGATCCACTCCCCTGGTGGGTTCACTGCTGGATTCAGGCTTCTCTGCGGATTCCTTGGGACGGGAAACCTTCTCCGGCAGACCCGACTGGCGGCGCAGGAAGTTAATTCGTGCCTCGCTCTCCTACATACAAAATACACGCATTAATATAGGATTTTCTAGATCGTCTAGCAATACCAACCGCAAATTCCAATTTGTCCTGGCGGATTTTCTCCTCCGCTGCCGCAGCCGCCTGATCCCGGCGCACGCGGGCAATGTTATCCTTGGTGCGCACATGCCAGCTATGAAATAAACCGCGATTTAGAGGATGAAAACATGATTTAAATGCAAAACTCACCGTTTTTTGGGTAAAATATTCATTTCGCCCTGCCAATTCCTCGATAGATAATAACAATGGAGCTATCGGTGCTATCGATAGAACCGAAGTATCGATTGGCCAGAGCCGAGTAGGCAAGAAGTTTGAATTACACTCGCAATAGTTTAAAAACTATTTTTATTCGTTTCCAATGTATTTAATTTGCTGACTTGACGCCGCCACACGCCACGCCCGGCCCAACACTCGATTAAGTTGGCGCCCACTGGGCACCCGATTAGCTTGGCTATCGAGTGGGGGGCAATCGAATGGCAAACACATCTGTCAGAAGGTAGAAGAAGAAGCAACAAATTCGCTTAAATTTATTTTCCCGAATTGAATTGCGAAAAAACCGTACAGCGTATCCCATCCGGAACCAGGAGAACGTAACCGCAGTGGCGCACCTCCGGAATGGCCACGGAGCAGCATCACCAGCAGCGCGTCCTCAAGCAAGATGGCTACTTGGATTTGGGCGACTGTAATAGCGCTCCAGCTCCCTTCAAAAGGCGCAACGTCGTCTATCATCCGCAACTGAATGTCCTCCTGCTGTTCGACAACGGCAGTACGGTCAAGGTCCTGGACGCCAACTCTGGGGTGATCCTGCAGACCTACCAGCTCAGTTCCAATGGTAAGATGTCTCGAAGAAAAAACCATCACACATATGTACACACGGATGGGGCAGCTGACGCACACAGGCGCACGCAAATGTCAATACAGTGGAGAACTGCGAATTAGAACCCACACAGAGAAAAACGGCAATATATCAATAATCTTTGATATTTTTTCGAAGATCAGAAAGGGCTGAATCATATCAGTATAGCAGAGCAATCGATTACACTTTGCAGCATTTTTAGTGCTTTTTAAATTTACCTCGATGGATGCTATATTTTTGGATTCGTTACGAATTCCCAAGTTAAACTGCGTTTTCCAAAAAGTTCCCCGACGCAAGGATTCTTAGCAAAAGAACCTCAAAGTTCGAAAAATGCTGAAATTGGCCAACTTTGCGGAGCTCTCAGAGGCAAATGGATGCATGGTTTGATTCTATGTTAAAGTTTTTTAAAAGATACACCCTTTATCTTTTAAACCCTATACTTAAAAAATTTTTAAGATTTTTTTTAAGGCAGAAACAAATTCTAGAAAACATAGTCAAAAAACATAAAAGTATACAGCTGCGGTCAAAATGGTAGTAGTGTTGCCGCCCTGTGTATTTAAAAGTTTGTTGTTGTAATTGATCTTTTCCTGGTAATATTGTATTGATTATAATTTTACTATTAGACTAATTGGATAAGAAAAAATTACAACATCAAACTTTTAAAAACACAAGGCGGCAACACTGCTACTATTTTGACCGCAGCTGTATGATTTTCAGTTTTTTTGACTATGTTTTTTGGAATTTATTTCTGCCTTAAAAAAAATCCTAAAATTATTTTATGTATGGGGTTTGAAAGATAAAGGGTGTATCTTTTAAAAAACTTTAACTTCGAACCAAGCCATGCATCCATTTGCCTCTGAGAGCTCCGCAAAGTTGGTCAATTACAGCATTTTTCGAACTTTGAGGTCCTTTTGCTAAGAATCCTTGCGTCGGGGTACTTTTAGGAAAACGCAGTTTAACTTGGGAATTCGTAACGAATCCAAAAAAATAGCATTCATCGAGGTTCATTTTTGATGCTGCATAGTGTTATTACTATAAAAACGAAATACAATACTTCATCCTTTAAAATTTAAAATAATTTTTATTGTAAAATATTCCATACTTCTAAATTAAATTAGTGATATTTTTTAAAATCATATGTTATCAAAGATCGTTGAAACATTCGAATATTTTTGCTTTAATGAAATTTTTTCCTGAAACTAGTACTACGCCCGATTTTGTATAGTATTGGTATTCCTCGAATTCTGAATTCTTTAAATTATGAACCATGCTAAAACTTCTGCGTCCCCTGTTTTTCTCTGTGCATGCTAACTTACAATTCATATTCAGTTCGTCATAGCCATGGCTCACTGTGTTGCATTTCTGTACGTAATTGCCTTGCACTTGTCCACTCGTTTGTATGTATGGCTGTGTGTGCTGGCACTTTTTTGTGTATGCGTTTGGCATCAATTTTTAACAAAGCTCTGGGAAATCCTTAAACGGAGAGTGATAATCCAATCCAAGCCCATCCGAGTGATTCCCCCCGGGAATCGAAATTTTATAGACCGTCCTATCGCAATGCGTTTGTTATTGTTTTCTATTAGCCACCAGAAGCACGCATTTGTTTTTGTTTTGCTTCTATTACGCAGTTGTTCAGATTAGTGACCCCCACACCCCCGCTGCCCATGAAATTGTAGGACGGAAACTATTTTCGGGAATGTTCCGGTCTTCAATTTTACGGATGTTGTCTCGTTATCTATAGGGTCTGATTTCATTTCGCATGTAATTGTGACATCTGACCTTTAATGAAGTTTTTGCCTTTAAAAATATTTATTAAAATTTGATTTATTAACTTTCGATTATATTTGATTGGTTTTAGCTTTAAAATTCAATTTTAAATCATTATCATAATTATATATATATTTTAAAAATCACTGCAGAATTTCCAAGTCATATCATTTGAGGCCTTAAATGCCTCGGAGAAGGGAGATCAGAAATCGACTTGATTGTTCTCTGATGAAATCAGCAAGGATGAGTCATATTCCCTTTCTAATGCTTTCGTTTTTCCGGTTTTCCTCAGGCGACAGCATCGTTAATGGTCGCTATATGCCCCTGCAGGACAAGATCTTGTTCTGGGATGGTCATAATCTTGGACTGCGGGGCGATTACAACGGCGTCCTGCTGCTGGACACCATTCTGCAGGCGCCGATTGGCCAAAACGATGACTACATCAAACTGGAGATTATCCTGTCGGAGGCGATCATCTTTCAGAACTGCATTACCGAACTGGAGAGCGAGGGTCTGGAGTGTCCCTGTGACATTAGCAACGAGCTGACGCAGAAGATTAACCAAGCGCAGCTGAATGCCAAGAAGGGCATCAAGGCCCAGCGGGTGAGATTATACTGCTACTGATCGTTTATTGACCTAAACTGACACTTTCTTCCTTTTCAGTGGAATACCATATGCTTGGAGGTGCCCTATTCCAGTCTTAAGCTGGTGTCCAACAATGTGGTCATCCTACTGAAGCGCCTGGAGCGCCACATTCCCGTGCTGGCCATCGCCTCGGCCATCAATGAGCGCCTCACCGACATGCTGATGGGCTCCCGGGTGCCAGACTTTGGCTGGAATTTCAGTAACTTTCAGCGCGTGCTCATGCACTCGGAGGCAGTTCGTCGCCAGACGTTTGAGAAGTGGCCCCATATGGACTACAAGTGGGCTCTGCCCGATCAAATGGCCCAGGCCGGGTTCTACCATCAGCCATCTTCCTCTGGCGAGGATCGCGCCATGTGCTTCACCTGCAACGTGTGTCTTGTCTGCTGGGAGAAGACGGATGAGCCGTGGAGCGAGCACGAGAGACATTCACCGCTGTGTCCCTTCGTCAAGGGCGAGTACACGCAGAACGTGCCGCTGTCCATAACCTACGCCACCAATCCCGCATTGCCAGCACCCGGACTAGGATTCGACATCATCTCCAACAGTGATTATGCGAATGTGCTCTGCACCAGTTGCTCTCAAACGGGAGAGCTGAGCGTTTGGAGCATTGAACGTCACCTGAAGCTGATGCACAGCATACATGTGCCCACATTGCTAAAGGACGTCTTCGAAGAGAGCTTCGAGTGGGCGCGGGTGACGGCCATCTGTGTTCTGCCCAATGCACGAGCCCGCACCAAGGTAAACTACGTGTATTCGGCAGCAAATTATGGCGGAGCCGGCAGCAGCAGTGGAGTAGGATCACATTCGGGATCAAATGCGGTGTCTAGTGGAAAGTTTGGCAGTGTGAATGCCCAGCACATAACCTCCACGTCCACGCTTCGCGCAGGCGTAGTGGGATCAAAGATCGTCTTAGGCGTCAGCGTGCGCCAGAGCAGCGGCGAGCTGGCCCTGCGCATGGTGGTGCTCAACATCGTCGAGGTGGACCGAAGCAGTGAGACCTCGACGAGCGTCAGCAACGACAGTGGCAGCGTCTCCAGCGTTGGCGGTCAGTTAATGAAGTCCTCATCCCCAATGGTCAACGGTGAGCTAATACTTTTTTAAATATGGTTTAATTTTTACGCTGAGACTTGAATCATATTTGTAATATTTATTGATAACCCAGCCTAAGCCTGAAATAGTATATTATATTAATGAAGTCTAATTATTCATTATTCTATTCTAATAATTCTATACTTTTTTAATTTTGATTTAATTTTTATGTTGAGACTTTAATCATATTTGTACTATTTATTGATAACCTAGCCTAAGCCTTAAATATTATATTATATTAATCAATTCTAATTATTCTATTCTAACAATTCTATACTTTTTTAAATATGATTTAAATTTTTTGTTGAGACTTGAATCATATTTGTACTATTTATTGATAACCCAGCCTAAGCCTTAAATATTATATTATATTTATTAATTCTAATTATTCCTCTCGCTACAGTCTCCGGCGAAAACAATGCGGCCGTGACCCAAGCGAATCTCGAGTCCAAAGATGATGATAACAAGGCTATGACCCCATACGAAAAGTTCACCGATGGCTTCGATAGCAACGGATTTGTGTCCGCCCTGATGACATACAACAAGAACAACGGAGTTAGCCAAAACACCGACGATGCCTCCGTTTTGTACGATTTCGATTTGTGCACCTTGTCCCAGATCCTCGATCACAATCTGGAGGAACCGCTTAGCTTAATGGTCGGATCGAATACGGTGAATGTTAGTAATCTTGGCATGTGCAACGAGATCGATAAACTGGTCGAGGATGTGGAGATGACTCACCAGAACAACAACAATAATAACAACAACAATGAGGCTAATTCCCTGGGCGGAAATTCGTCGAATAACAATAATAACATCATGATCAACGGAAGCACCACCAGCAGCAGCGACAAGATGTCGGCCACCGAGGAGATTGACTGTGTGGTAGAGAGTTGGACGAGTGTAAAGCGCATGAATGCCTTGGATGGTGCCAGTAGTGGGGCGAATGGTGTGACCCACTCGGTGCAGGAGATTATCGAGATAGCCGAGATCTTGCCCACTACTCCGAAATGCAACCAGCTGCTGGTTAAATTGCTGCGCACCAAGGCGCCGGAGACGGAGGGCAGTAAGATCATCATGGCCACCGTGGCCAAGGAGGAAGAGGAGGAGGATGAGGAGCAACAGGCAGATGAGTCAATGGACACAGGTACGAGAAATGTAACTCCTTGAATAAATTGAAATTAATAGTCAACTTTTTCAGATAACAATGCGGAGGGTAATGTGGCCGCTCAGCTATTGGTGTTCGACTACGACGACACTCAGATATCCAACGATTACACCCTGGCCATGACCTTCAGTCGGGCCAAGTGCCCCAAGCAGCTCTGCATCCTGCCGCACTTCAGTTCGTCTCCGGAGAACAAGGATGCCGGATCCATATGCGTAGTTTGTGCAGACGGAAGCGTTGAGATTTACTCGCTCGCCGATTTCCAAGGCACCATGGTGATCGAGGAGGAGGGCGAGCACTTTGAGTCGGTGGTTTATTGCCGGAATCTGGATAGGCTCTGCTGTTGCTCACGCCAGGGCGGCCTGCTCTTCTACTCGCTGAGCGAGGGGGAGAACGATTCCGGTGACGAACTGCTGGAGATGGAGGATGACTGCAGTACCACGTTAACGCAGGTAGCGGATGTAAGTGTTACGGATGGCGCGCGCCATTTAGCTGGAACAGATCTTTTGGGCAAGACCCTGCTCGCCAGCGATTCCATTTGCGTGGATGTTGGCAGTGAAGCGGCAGCAGCGTTGAACTCGTCAGGCGCCCACGTCCAAACGTCGCCAGCTTCCATGGCTTCCAATGCCAACCTGCTTGCTTACAAGACGGCCGACCTGACACTCGAAGACCTGAAGGTCTTCTACGCTCTTACTCAGTTTGACGATAAGCTGACCGTCTACTCTGCCGAAGTGCCCAGTTGCTGGAACGATCTCGGCCAGGTGCAGAAGCAGCGCAAACAGTCGCAGAATATGCGGAATGGAGGCGACGAACGGGATTTCACACGCACCTGGCGGCTGCACAATGATGCGTAAGTATTTCATATACTTCTATACTATACCATTAGTAAAAACTATTATTATTCCTTCAGAACCACCTGGGACGAACATATTATAGAGCTCAATTTAGCCCAACCCGTTTCTCTGGGTCACATCGATCTTAAGTTCACGGTCTATCAGCAATGCTCAAATCCCGCAGCTATCCAGGTCACCCTACTGAAACAGAACACCAACGGATTTGGCTACCGAATGAAGGGACCTCATTCGAGTTATAAGCCAAATGTCATTAATGACAACATTGATCTCTCTTATAGTAAGTTTGTAGCATTTGCAACTTTAGCTGTTTCCTAATTAATTTGCAAACTACTTTCCAGTTGCCAACGAAAATCCAGTGCTGAGTGAGGAGTATTTACTAGCCCACAATGCGGAGGTTTTGGCCGGTCCCATTGAGCTCTCCTCATGCATTGATCTGTGCGATCAGGGAGGCACCGCCACGCTCACTTCCCCGAAACTGTTCAAGACCCGCACGAGGAACTTCCTGCTGCACATCAAAACAGTGTCGGACCCATCGAAGGATGGTCAGAACAAAACGAGAGGTGGGTTGCCTAGGAAACGGGGAGCCCGATGAAGGAGCGACAGTGCATTTTACTTTTAAGATAAAGTTGGGGTCATGGTTGCCACTCATAACATCGAATTTCGACTACTGTTTGCAGTTGGTTACTAGTGGCAGCTTGTGAGATTTGAATTTTCTATCGAGTTAGGCCGTTGATCTTACCGCCCATATCGCTACCTTTTGCAGCTTCCCCAACTGGGCACAAGCGCTCGCATCAAGTTGAGGAATTAGTGGATCGAAACAAGCTCTCTAGGAACCCCTTTAAAATAATCCGGGTGGTCAAGACATCGGTCCTAAAAGCCTATCCCGCGGCGAAAAGCGCCTGCTTTAATATCATAGAAGTGAACACAGCCAAGTTGCAGAGCAGTGAACCTGTGTGTTTGGCCAAGATTCTAAAAAAGAAGTGCCAAAGCCAGCCAGGTGCAGTTGCTCCCTCTGTGGGACGCAGGCCCGAGCAACTGCCGAGTAGGGAAGGTATTTCCTGGCGCTTCAATTCGTTCCGATAGCCGAGAATCCCAATAAAGTTGGACCTTTTTCTTTCTGTTTCTATTCTCAGGCTGCGACTGGCTGCACGAGATTTCCATCAGTGTGCGAGCGGTCAAGTCGCACAGTCGGATCAGTAATGGCCGCATGCAGCGCATAGCCATGCTGGAGAGCAATGTGTTGCTGGTTCAGCTGTTGCGCATCGCCAGTGATCCGGCTTCCAGTCCGTTGGCCAAGAACATGTCGCTCGACGTCCTCAATTGGATTTGCTTCATCAGGCTGAACCGTTTTCGCTCACCCAAATCGGAGCGGCTTAAGGACCAGATCAACAAGCAAACAGCAGCAAACATCCAAGACCTGCTGGCGCAGCAGTTCGAGTGCATTTCCCTCGCCGAGAAGCATATCGAGCAGTTGCTGCGGAACTGCGTTATCTACAGCGAACGCAGCACGGCCCACAAGTGTGTTAAGCTGCTGATCATGTTGACAGAGTAAGTGGAGAAAATTAATTGCTGAGATATATTAACTCAAATCCATTTTTACTTGCAGGGGTGCAACCAATCTGCCAGCAGAGGTGCAGGATCACACAACGCTGGACTATAGCTTCAAATCGGCGATTGCCAACACATTTCCGGAACTACCGCGTGCGCAGTGCGGCAGCGTTGTGCGCTGGTACATGATGCTTACCTGTGCCACATCCACAGCCCAGTCGAACAACAGCATCTCCGAGCAGGCTATCAATCTTCTGAAGGATATTGCCACAGAAATCGACAAGCGCTGGGATCCTCACTGTGCTCTGTTGAGCACGCGCTTCGGCCTCTACGGATATCCCTTCGAGCCGGAAATATTTGATTTTGACTTCCCCAACGTGAGCAGACAGGGTCCCGGCTCATCGGTGGCCCTTACAAATGTGATACGCAGCAGTTCTACTATTCTGCCGGTGACGGGACTGGACATTAAGCGATTGAGCTCCATAGGTTGCATTTAAAATAATTTAATTTATCATAGATGATGGCAAAATTCTTATATTACAGACGGCGTTGACTTTCGTACGTTTCCATATCTGATCCGAGGAAAGAGCATCAGTAACCAACTGCGTGGATTGTTAGAGGTGGTACAGCTGCACTTTAACTGCGTCCAAACCTCTGAGGCAACTCGAATCGACAACATCGACAGTGTTGGAGGGAACTCCGCTGCCAATGTGGTAATTGAGGATGTGATGATGATGCCAAAGTTGGTGGTGGCCAAGGAGAAAGGCGAGGAAATGGTATGGCCTGAAACAAAGAAACGAAAAAGTAAGAAATGTAATCTGATAATATTCACTAGCTCAACGACCTAGTTAACGATGTGGAATGTTTGGTGGAGGAGATGAAGGAGAAACAGGGCAAGGTCGATTACGATGCCTTTGGTTTGGTCAACGGGTTCAAGGATAAAACATGTAAGTTTTCTTTGGCATTACTTTGGGTTACCCTATTTTAATATTAAATTATCTCTTTAGCAGGGTCCTCGCTCGCAGACTCCCTCGAACACGCTCTGAAAGAAGAGGTTAAAATAGAAAAAGCGGCCATCATGGACAAGCTAAAAATGTCCAAGTTCCTGCCCAAGTTATCGCTATTCGAAAGTTACATGCAGAAAAAGATATACGAGCACATCTCCTTCGATGACTTTGGCAAACTAGACAACTGGGATGGTAACACATCGCCACCGTTTAATTTGGAGATGGGAGCCCCCATTGAAGGCCAGGAAACTACTCCTGACCCCAATCCGTCTCAGCAGTCGACAGGAACAGGAGGTGACGGCATACTGGACGATGCCGCGGAGAGCGAGAAGATCATGGAGAATCTAAACGCCAATCCTTGCCAACCGATTGCCTGGCACAAGCTAATCACTCCCCCGCCCAAGCAGATGATCGTCATCGATCGGATGCACTCGGGTGCTAGACGATTTGTGGTACTGGACTTTGGCCAGCATATTCTGCTCACGGATCTGGTGATTCCCTCGTGCGATGAACTGACTTCCCTGAACATTGACATCTGGTGTTTTGACGAGGAGACAGACTGCACCCGTTTGGTGCAGGTGAATGATATCCAGACCAAGACACTTGTGCTCAGCGACATTCAGCCGGCGCCTATTTGCCGGTTCTTAAAATTAACCATTATTGGCCGAATTGGGATGTCGTCCACAAAGTGCAAAGTACCCCTGGGACGCTTCTTCGGTCATCCGGTGGTGCTGGAGCACGACGGCTACGGGGATCAGCTGATGAGGTTCATCAAGCAGCCCACTCAGAGCCTTCAAGCGCAATTAAAGTCGCTAAATGCACTGTACGAGGATGTGCATTGCCGTTACAGCCTGGCCAGCTGTAAACTAATGGATCTGCTGGCTCCCATGCGGAATAGTGAGCTGTCGAACGTGGCTCACCTGCAGGCCTTCATCAACAAGCAGCGCGACGAGGAGCTTAGTGGCCTGGATAACAACAATAAGGTGGTTTCACTGTACGACGAATGCATGCTTCTGCAGTATCAAATCAATGTTATCCGGAATGTGGTGCTGCGTTTGGAACGAGCTCTTTCCCCCAACGCGTTGAGTAGCACGCCTCTTCCGGGAGAGCCGATTCCAATAACGGAGGAAATACTGCGTGCTGCGTCGCGGGACAAGCTACGAGTACTCAGTCTGAGTTTGGTGGAGGTGCTTCTGCACTTCTCCATCGAGTATGGAATTAAGAACATCTTGCCTGTTCACCAGAAATTCAATGCGGCCACGGCTAAGGCGCTTTTCAACTCGCTGGTAGTCTACGGCGATGCACAACTGCAGTTGGCCACTTGCTCGTTGCTGGTGCGGATGTGCTGCTTCCAGCCATGGTGGGGAGACTTCCTCGCTGACACCTTCTGCAGCCTGTTCTCGGCGCAGAACTGCAAGGCTTTCCCCCAGGATCGGTTAGTTTTCAGAGAGCACTGGTAGAAATTACAAATCAATTAATGTATTTTTCGTTTTCATCTACAGCATATTCTTTTTGCTTACCTACCTGGGACGTCGCAGCATTGCCATGGGCGCCTGCCGATCCATTGTGATTGACGCCGTGCTCAAGACGCTCGTCAAGCTGTTGGCACCCATCTCCCCGCACTACAAATATCAGTCGGAGCAGCCCAGCACGTCTGCCAATGCTGCTGATCGCAATGCAGCCATGGGCACCACATCCGATCTTCAACTGATCACCTGGCTACTTCTGTTTCTATCCGTGTGCCTCGACGACAACGAGCGCAAGGATAAATGTAAGGGAATTGAATCGGGCTGGTTTTTTATATATATTAATAAATATCTTATTGCAGCAGCTGCTCGCTGGGACTTTATGAGCTGTGAGAGCGACTTCACCAAGACCAGGCCCAGCAACACTCCCAACAGCAAGCAGTTGCGCTGCTTTAAGAAGCGCATCATCCAGCAGAACAAGTACTCGGTGCAACCTTACACGGATTGGGGAAAGAAGATTTACATGATACAAAATGAGGTAAGTTGACTTATTAACTTTAAATGGTAATCAACAATATAATATTTGCCCATTTTTAACTAGCATCCTGGTATATTTATGGAGCTCTCAACGAAATCAAAGGGCAGTGGACCTACCAAGTCGACATCCACCGGTGGCAAGATCAATATGGCTGGCCTCTGTGTTGGTGGTAGCAGTACAAGTAGCGGTGCATCCAAGAGTACGGTGGCCTCCTCATCCTCGCCTAAGCACCAGGATGTCACTGGTAGCGATGGCGAACGAGACAGCAATTTTGACAAGGGCTTAAAGACACTGCGAATGGCCAACATCAAGGTGGTTATTCGCGGGCTCTTTGCTCTGCTGCTGGAAATGGATTTCGATTGCAACATGGACCAGTTTCTGCTCACCTGCAAGGTAATCGCACGTCTGGTGGCCGCTTGCAGACCGTCTGTGCAGCTCTGTAAGATTGTGACCACCGCCCAGCTGGAGCAGCTTGTACGTCTATCCGTGTGGAATGATCAGCAGCAGCCCTGGGCTGTCCATGCCATTACGTGTTTGCTTCAGGTGAGTAAATAATTAAATATTAGCAAAAAACCATAATTGATAAACACGCATTTTTCTTGCAGGACCTTTTGGATGCAGACAAGCAGTTCAGAGACAACGATGTCACACCCACTAATGACACACCACGAACCATGGAAGCCACAGTGCAGGAAACACGAGATTTATTCAACGACTATACCTGTAAGTTATTAACTAGAATTTAAATTAACAAGCAAAATGCTTATATATATTTATGAAAATTAAAAGTTATATATTTGTGTGCACAAATATGTGCACTTTAAATTACTTTGAAAACCTTTTGCAAAGGTATTCGAAATCCCTTGGCAGGGCATAGTGAAACAATGAATTTTCCATTCTTTTAGCCACTGCTTCCTCGTGCACTGAGGCACAATTCGAGATGCTGATGCCGACAGCAAGAGAATTTTATCAAGAGGGTAAACATAGTACTATTCTTAACCGTAGAGCCTTGCATGTTATTGCAAGGTTGATTCATAGATTTCCTGACTACCGCATATTGTGTAAGCAGGGATCGTATTTGTTTTGAATTTTAATAACAAAAATTACAAAATTAAATAAATCTGGTAGATTTATGATGTTAACCATTTACGGTTCCTGCTACAAGACCACTTTCCCCATAGCCAAGCTTTTAGTTTGATCCCAATTAAATTTAATTTGAATACCCGTATCCTGCAATTGTATAACAAAGCACTCTACCACTGACTGTATTCACTTTTGCAGCCGTCAAATACAATTACTTGCCATCATTGATTGAATGCGATGACACGGAATTCGACGAGATGCTGAATGACATCGACATGATCGAGCGTACGAAGCCAGTGACCAAGAAGGAGAGCAACGCCCTTTGCAAGAACACCTTCAATTTCTTCTGCAAGTCCATCTCCATAGCCCTGGACTCTCGGTTGGACGTGGGCCTGGAACTGCACGTGGAAACGCAGCTAAGAAGGCTCACGAATCGCACTTCCCTGGATCTCTACTCCTCGCTGCCTCAGGTGCTGACCAATGAGTTTGTCTCTCCGCCACCGGAGGCTGCTCCTTGGCCAGAGTACTTGACGCAGCTGTGGTCGGGTACAGAGTACAATGGCCGCAACACATATGTGATGTTCAAGAAAGTCTTCGACTCCATCCTGGCGGATTTACACTATGAAGACACTTGGGTGCACTTGGAGCAGGTGCTGCAGATGTGGCTCACGCTGAACTGCGAGCTCTCCGACAAGCCATACACCAGTGGCATCACCAACACGGATGTTCCGAAGATTCCGTTTGGTGCCAATGCCGTGCAGGGATTGCTCCTCGCTTTGGCCTGGCACAATGACATCAAGCTGCGCACCTGGTGTCTGGGCTTCCAGTGCCTGTTCCTCGCCTGCAACTCACTGCCCATCGGCGAGGATGCGGACTGCACTCGCATCAACGAGGTCATTGTGAATGATGAGAACTTTGAGAAGATGCTGCTGCGCTTCTTCTCTGGCTATGGCATGAGCTCCTCTATAATAACCAACCGATGTGTAAGTTATTTAGCGCTGAATTAAATATGAATTTGTTCTAAAATGTCATTCATTTACCTTCAGGCTGGACCAACCATTTGCAAGCACCTGCATGAGTTGCTGCTTTGGCTGCACAGCAAAAGCGAGACCAGTGGCATTCCCTGCAAGCGCCGGTTGAAGGACATTTTGCTGCATGTTGTCCTCCAATTGGTGCAACCTGGTGGCGCTATTAGCAACCAGCAGGGACCCATCGATGCCCAGAATCAGCTGGTTCGTGATCTGCTAATGATGCCCAACGACAAGGGAGATCTCAACATAGCCCTCAAGATCACCGAAAGTGTTTGTATGTGATGGAAATTCTCCTTCATTCGAATATTTTATTGAATCCTTATTTTTGCTTAGCTTTCCTGGTGTACAACAACATTTCCAATGGTGAGAAACTGCAGTGTCAGCGTGGAAATGAGAACAATACGGCTGGCAACAACTTTAGCAATCTGTTTGCCAATGTTTTGGGATCGGAAAATCCCGCCAAGCAGAATGCCACAATCTGCGACAATTCGCTTATTATAAATCTGCTGAAACTATCGTCGCACATGGTTTTGACGGAGATGCCCAGGCAACCAAGTGTATGTGTCTCCGCACAGAATGTATTGAAACGTATCTCATCTGTATTGTATTTATTTTGACAGGAGGTTACCATACCCGAGGAGGAGGAGCTGTCCAATCAAAGTCAAACGGATGAGACCAAAGCAGAACAGTTAAATACCGAAGGACATCGCAGCAAAGTACCATGCATTGCGGATTGGGGTAGGTTTTAAATCATAGTTTCCCTACAAACTTTATTAATTATTGCTGCCGTTTTAGTTCTGCGCCATTTCCCCACAATGAAGCGCCTCTTTGGAACGCTTTCCCAGTGCTCTACAAACACTTTCACCATGATGTCCACTGGCTGCTTTTTCTCACTAAAGTCCAATATGGTTTTGGATGATCCGCAGACAATTGCAGACGCCGTCTTTAGTTTGATGATAACCCTCAGCGATAAGGCGTCCAATCCTCGACTGGTTGTGGCACCCATTTGCCAATACCTTGAAGAAAGTAAGTTTGTATTGTATGTGAAACCTTTTTTTCGAGTATAAAAGACGTTCTGCTTTATTAACAGCCACCATTCAAAGAAACGCAACGCTGCCGCGTCTGCCGCTCTCGGAACCCTTCCTGTGGTACATCTCAAAGGTCCTGGAGGTCACAGCGGCAGTTCAGACGTTTACCCAGTTGGGTGGAATTCAGATTATCTGTCACAACTTGGTGCGACTGAATAAGACGATCATCAATATGCAGCCAGGACTGGTAAGAGTACATTTGAAAGAATGTTACCCTCCAGAAACAAATTCTATATTACATTTTTGTAGATCTCTTTGATTATGCAGCACTTGACGCGCCATACACGCTTCAAGCGAAACAGTCATGTGGCGGCGAACAGTGCGTGCAAAAAGACAACGACTGGCACGGGCACAACAGGCGCAACGGCAGCCCAGCCGCCGAGGAGCGGTGCTCAGTACGATGGATTGATAAACTTTGCACCCTTTTCGCACATTGTCTCCGAAAACGATGCGGCCCAAAGTGCAGAGGTGCTAATCTCTAATCCCAATAATTCGCATCGAAGACCACGATCGCCAGCGTGGAGCTACATGTTCTATCCAAATGAGACGCACGTGGATCTGACTATCACGCTGCCCACGGCGATTCTGCTGAAGGAGGTTCAGCTGGTGCCGCACACAACGAGTCTGGCATCCTGCCCCTCGGCGGTGGCGCTGGAGTTGTCAAGAGATTATGGGGTGGGCTCCATCCCAGTGGGTGCACCCATGGCCACCACTGGGCTGACCTGCATCAGGCTGAAGTTAGCCAAGGCGGAGGTGGCTACCAGCATTGTTCTGAGGCTTTACAAGTAAGTTCAAGGCAAAAATTGCCAATTAATTTACAAACTTTAATGATTTTATCATATCTTGCAGACCCAAGGATTGTGGCAATGTAGGCCTCGTACAAATCGCTGTGCTTGGCCAGACAATCTTCGGGAATCGCATGCAGGGGCTTCGCTCGCCAAGTCCATTTATCGATTCTCTGGCGTCATGCTCGTCGCCCTTGCAAACGGCAGCTTTGGCCGCCATGGATGCGGATGCCATGCTAGAGGACGATGCCTTTGCCAAAACGAGCATTGGCTGGGTGCGGATCCTATCGCGCTGCTTCCATGTGGCCGCCTTGCAACCCGACAGCAAGCTGGCGGACCTGATCGCCGCCTACCCGGCTGCATATCCGGGTTTCCTAGAGGCCTGCTGCTCACTGCTCAATATAATGCCAATGATTCCAAGTCTTGCTCAGCAGCACCTGGAGACCATTTTGCTTAAGTTGGGCGCCTACAACCACGAGCTCAGCTTGCAGCTACTTCGCACGCTCCTGTGGCACACAACTCCACAAGGTAAGTCATTCCTTAGTCCTACAGAATCACGAAAAATAATCACGTTTAATAACTAAACTATTTTCCCTTTCAGTTTTCAAACTCTCCAGCGATGCTGTGTGCGATCTCATCCACGAAGTGGTTACCGGCTCGACGGAGCACCTGCTGGACAAGTTGCGCGTCCTGATCGACTGGGTGATGCAACTGCACGATAACTACAGCCAGCAGGCGCGCTGTAACAATCCACAAAGTGGATTTGTCAAGGTGATTGCCTCTATTCTGTGGAAAGTGCAAACCCAGCAGCAACTACCCGAGCTGCCACTCCTCATTTCATCGTCGCTGTTCGAGACCTGTTTCGAATGGGTGTCATCGCTGGAGAACGATGAGCCTCTGAAGAGTAGTTTCGACTCCCTGCTGTGTGCATTGTGTTACATTAAGCCGGAGCTGTTTAACCAGCTATTGGTCAAGTTGGGTGTGAAACTGGAACCTCCGGCTCGCGGACAGACGGATGACAGCAAGGTGCAGAGCGGCAGTGCTTGGTTCCGGCGCGAGGGCAGCGAGAATCTAACAGTTCTGCTGCAGCGTCCCACATTCCTGAAGACTCTGGCCCTGGCTTGCCAGTCTCCGGCGGCAGTTTACCAAATGCTGGACTCGGGACTCCCCAAGCTGTTGTCCCACGCCATATACGAGTATTGCATGCACCTGTTGCCCGGTTCGGAGCAAGAAGTTTCCACATCCACAGTCGCTGCGGGGGAAGAGGATTCCGCAGCCAGCAATCCGGTTGTTGCTCCAGCGGATGATGAGGACTCCTCGCTAACAGACTTCGACAAGGCCGGAGCAAGTGTAAGCCATAACACTCCACTGCTGAGTAGCTCGAATGTGCCCAAAGTGCTTGACTTCTTCGCGGAGTGCTGTGCCGAGGGACCGATGCGAGATTGGCTGGGCACCATGCAGGGCTCCGTGTTCTGGAAGCCACTGCTGCAGCTGCTCTGCAACACACATGCCGCCCAGTTCAGCAAGACGCTGCCCATGCAGCAGTCCTTCATCCGCTTGGAACGGGCCACCATCAACTTCTTTACGCGGGTGAGCGCCTGCCATCCTGGCAACCAGGAAGTGCTCACATCGCTGCTCATCGGAGCCATAATTTGCAAGCCGCTAAGGTCTTCACATGGGGTTCGACCCACAATCTCTGGATTCACCAGACAGCTGGTGCTGCAGCTTCTCCTGGAGAACGAGCACATCACCGTGTCGGTAAGGAGTCAGCAGCCTTTGCAGCGGAGGGACACCCTCTCGGCCATCTTGGGCGGGAATTCGAGTGGTGCCAGCACTAGCTTGCCCGTGGCAGCAGTAAATAACCACCCGGCCAAGCGGAGCAGCGCCCACCACATGCTGTTCACGGTGACCACCAGCACCACGTGCCAGGAGATTATGCAGAATTGCGTTAGTGGTGAGTTTTTTTAATCATATATCCATTTCTACCTATTAGTTTGGTTTTTTATTCTTTGCCTTCTATAATTAATTTATTTTATTTCTTTTATTTTATTTGTTCGTGACCCCTTAGTGTATAGTAACCTAGTTTATCAACAACCAACAGATCAACGAGCTGGCGAGGCGTCGGCCTCCAGCAGTGGCGTGTCGAGTGCGACTGCCAAGTCGAGTGACAGCAAGCTGGAGAAGAACAGCTTCCTGAACTTCAACAACGTTGAGGCGGGCAGCATGGAGTTCCTCACCGTTGGAGCAGCTGTGGCAGCCAAGGACAAGCGAATAAAGGATGCCAAGAACCAGGCGGCCATGAACAAAGACAAGGAGACTCAGACCAGCTCCATGAACTTGGCTTCCAGTGAGGATCCGCTATGCTTACAAATCAAATGTGTTCTTAACCAAATACTCTCTTACAGATATTTTCAACGTTGAAGAGTTCTTGCTGCAATCGGCGAATGCAGCCAATGGCAATCAGTTGGTTATACCAGAGTATTCGGATATCCTTTTGGCTGGAGATGCGACCATTTCGCAGGTGTTGGCCTCTCTCCAGGATGCAGGACATTCGCTGTCGACGCCCTGCATTTCGCTCGACCTGGTGCCCCAGCAGCGAGCGGATGATGCGAGCGAGGCCAAGAAGACCAAGGCCGCCTGCACTGAGCCGTTGCCATCGCCTCTGCAACGATTTTCTAGCAGCGGCGGCCTTTCGCTACTCGCCCACTACCTGCCCACCGTCTATCCGGAGCACTCGGGCAGGAAGACCACCTTGGTGGTTAGCGAAAAGGAGAAGAGTCCGCCGCTCTCTGACTGGGTGAAGCTGGAGCCGAACGACGAGATCTACGAGGATCTGGAGGACACCATCTGCGAGCCGGCGGCAAAGCAAGCAACTGTCAGCTCGGTGCCGCAGCACTCGCTAGCCGCATTCGGATTGTTCCTGCGACTGCCTGCCTACTCCGATGTCTTGCTGCGAGACAAGATGCGAGCGCAGTGCCTTCTTCGTTTGGTGCTGGGCGTCACGGGAGACGGCGAAGGCAGTAAGTAGAATAATAGAAGGATCATTTGATTTCCAGCTTGTAACCCCACTTTTCCCGTTTCAGATGATATATACAGTCTATCGCTGGCTCCCTCGTTGCCCACCCTGCCCTTCGAGGTGTTCCGGCAGCTTCTGGATAGTGTGCCTCTGTCGACCGACGACGGCGTGCTACTGCGTCGCGTAGTCATCGAAGTGGGAGCCATGCACCTGGTGCTCAACTGCCTGGGTATTTTCTCGCATCAGTCGCACAACAACAGGATTGGAGCACCGATCAACGAGCCCTCGCCAAGTGGAGCCAGCAGTGGCAGTGGCACCAATATCGCCAATGGCAGTGGAAACGGAAGTGCTAAGGCAAATGCACCGGAGGAGGCCACGCCCAGTGCAACGTCGGACGATAAGAGCCACATGTACTGGGCCAAGGGTACGGGTTTCGGCACCGGTTCTACCACCCAGTCGTGGAATGTGGAGCAGGCGCTGCTGCGGCAGAAGAGCGAGGAGGAGCACGTGACGGTGTTGCTGTTGGTTCTGGCCAGTTACATTAATCCGGGTGACTGCATACCGAGTGACATGTGCGGCGAGGACATCCTGGCCTATCATGATGTCAGAGATGTTACCGGCGAGCTGCCGCCCATCTTCCAAACACTCCTGCAGCAGTCTTGCCTAATCCCCGCCCTCAGCTCCTACCTGCGAAACGATTCCGTGCTGGACATCACGCGACACATTCCGCTGTACCGTGCCATACTGAAGCTTCTGCGCGCCCTGTCGCTGTCCAAGATGCTCGTCTCGCTGCTGCAGCCGGCGGCCAGTGGCAGTGGGGAGAGCACGCCGCCCATAGTGGAGCTCCTCACGAACATGAAGACCTGCGTGGACACGTACGCCAAGCGGCTCAAGTGAGTGCATGATTTATGTTCTGTATTATCTGTCATTAACCGATTAATATTAATTAATATTAATATTCACAGAGTCAACAAGAAGTCGAACATCAAGGGTCAGACACATCAGTTGACCTTCAACATCGATGACGGCGACGATGAGGGACTGGCTCTGCTCATTCCGGACATCCATGAGACAAGCGTCTTGGTGCAGAAGACCACGGATGCGGATGCCCTGATCAACATGCTGCACACCAACGAGGACGGCAGTGGGCAGCTGGAGCCGCTAAGTAAATCCATTGAGCAGCGCTACCTGGAGCTGATGAAGAAGCGCCAGTTCGACACATTCGACATGATTGTCGAGTCGGATAACAACAGCTTTCGGTTTGTGGTCTCGCACCACTTTGAGAAAATGGTGCGGCTCGCCGGCGATCGCTACCATCCGTCTCGGGTCAAGCGGCTCGCCCAGGAGGCGGTGACCCTGTCCACCAGCCTGCCCCTCAGCTTTAGTAGTTCTGTATTTGTGCGCTGTGATACGGATAGATTGGACATCATGAAGGTAAGTTAGCTCCTTTGTTTTATGAATTCCACTTCATGCTTACATGGTTATTATTCCGATTTACTAGGTACTCATTACTGGTCCGGCGGACACGCCATATGCCAACGGGTGCTTCGAGTTCGATGTCTTCTTTCCGCCGGACTACCCCAACCAGCCCATGCTCATCAATCTGGAGACCACGGGCCGCCATTCTGTGCGCTTCAACCCCAACCTCTATAACGACGGCAAGGTGTGCCTGTCGGTTCTGAACACCTGGCACGGTCGGCCCGAGGAGAAGTGGAATGCGCAGACCTCGAGCTTCCTGCAGGTGCTCGTCTCCATTCAGTCGCTCATACTCGTCCCCGAGCCGTATTTCAATGAGCCGGGCTTTGAAAGGAGCCGCGGTACACCGAGTGGCACCAACTCGTCGCGGGAGTACAACAGCAATATCTATCAGGCATGCGTGCGGTGGGCGATGCTGGAGCAAATACGCAGCCCAAGTCACTGCTTTAAAGATGTGAGTTTTACTTGCAAGTACCATCATGGCAGAGTTAATTTTATTACATTTATTTAATTAAGGTCATTCACAAGCATTTCTGGCTGAAGCGGGAGGAAATCTGCGCCCAGATCGAAGGCTGGATCGAGGAGCTGGGCAAGCCTCAGTACACCGAGAGGGCTAGTCGCACTATTTCCTTCAACTCAATGGTCCTGCGGCGTCACTATCGACACCTGCGTGAGGAGTTATCCAAGCTGAAGCCGCCTCGTGGCCTCGAGGACTTGGATGCGCCGTTCAATCCGGTGGCCACGCTGCCACCGATGGATGTCTCGGCGGCTCCTGCAGCGGCAGCCGCCACAACGACCCAGGCGGGAACAGATGATGCGATAGTGCCGGACATGAACCTGCTCGGCGAGACAGCGGATGATTGCGAAGTTGATGGCGATGCCGAAGGCGACGGCGATGTGGATGACGGCTTCAAGGGGTTCCCACAGGAGGAGGGCTTGCTGACGGGAGAAGAAGAAGTCGTAGAAATTCTGAGTGATACTGAGAACGAGAGCAGTGTGTGGCAAGAGAAAGAAGAGGAGGAGCTGTGAATCCCTAGCTGGTAGAGTTGGATTTGCTGTGATGCCCAGAAGCTGCTTGCCCAGGCCTACCGCATCTTCGCGCTGCCCTAGACATTTTTTATTTATATGCTATGATTTTTGTTTTACGCCTTTCCTTGTTTTAATTTTTTGTAAGAGAGAGACTGCAACAGAACTTGGTGTGCTTTACTTAATGGAACCGTAATGATTAATGTTAAACAAATTACGCTCATGGCGTGCACACATACAGAATGCATACACTCCCCCAAAAAGCATTGTCAGAAACTTTCCATTAAAAAAAAAAGAAAACCGAATATCCCACACCATACAAGTATGTATGATTATTGTATCGAACTTTTTATAAATGCTTATATAAACGGATCTATCCATTTCTACAAGAATAACCCGTGTGTGTATAGAATAGAACGGACATGCATGTCATTGAAAATATCACCACTATAAAGCAGTAACAACAACAAAAACCACCAAAACTAAATTAATGTGTATTAAACTATGTATGTACGTAGTAATTTAGTTAAATATTTACAGAAAATGTGAACAGTTTCCAATTGAAATAAAACGCGAGATAAAATTTTGTTTCCCCCAAAAGTGTGCAGTGTTCTCTTTGAATATTTGGGCCACAATTTGATCATAAAGATTGCTCATGGCCTAACGAAAGCGAAAGATTATATATCACATTTGGGTAGTTTATGAGACGATATCTTAATAGCACTTACTTTGTCACTTTTATAGGGTAGCATTGGCCTTTAATAAAATATTGTTATCTCTTTGTGATATTTTTCGGCTGCTCAACTGAGTTGGATCGCTCTCAAAGTATTCAGATTTTAGCTTAGTTTTAATTTTTATACACAATTAAATTCACTTCTAATTAGCTGTGATAATTTTCATTACCTACGGAACGTTAATTTATTTTACTTTCACTATTCCCTTTTTATTTCGAGTACATTTTTTGAGAGCTGACTGCAATCGATCGCCTCCTCTCAGATGCTCTTGAATTAAAGGCCCTGTTCTCAAAGAGCTGAACGATATAACTATTGCCTCGATTGAGCGAAATTCGACAAGTGGCTGATAGATCTTGCCATTGAGTCTCGGGATTTTGTCGCGTTCGGACGTATAGCGGAATTCTTCGGGAGTTTCTTCCGTGCCTTATGCCCAATTAGTTTATGGCGGATATAAAGTGTGAGCTCGTTTGATCATGGAGCTAAATAATGTTACCGTCGAGGATGGCGTAAGTCTATAGTTTCTTGGCATAACATTTTTTGGCGATCGCGTGGATTTATATAAGAGCAATTCTCCCAGAGGACGCTGCATAATTGCTAGCGATTGTTGCTTTTCCTATTTTGATTTTCATCAGTTTTGTTTTGTGATGCATTTCTTCACTCAACTGCAGTTTTCGCTTAATTGTTTCTGATTGGCGCCTTAGAGGGATAAAACCGTGGAGATAACACCCCTCAATTTACAGTTCATTCACAAATATTTTTTAAACGATCTAGGGAGTGAGTAACTGTCGGTCTAATAACATCCAATTGTAATTTGTCATTTTTATGCGGCGCAAACCTTTCAGTCAACAATGTTGGATTCAACAAAAGACTGATTTATTAACTAGCCAATCTCATCAGCTATTAATTTATGGTCTGATTAAAATTACCGATCTCAACAAGCTGAGAAAAACCGGCGTCCAATGATCTCCGCACTGATACTCACGCTCAATTAATCACGATTGGCGACCAGAGCCGTCACTCAAACTCGGGCTAAGATTAAATTCCTCCCTCCATGGGACGTTTTAAGCCATGTAGTTATGTAAATAAATTCAAAACTTTAATTGCAATTCTCATAAATAAAACAATGAAATTTCCGCACTCTGCAATTACACAATAAAAAGTGAGAATATCTTTATGCCCGATACTAAAAACCACTCATTAACATAAACAAATAGAAATTTGCATTAATAAAATATATTTACACTGATCAACAATATTAATGGAAACTTATCTTTAAAAATGCCGGAATTGCTACTTAAATCATCATTACAAGTTGAAATTATCCTCCTTTTCAAATAAATATTAGAAAATATTTCAAGAATTATTCATTTAAATTATGTGAAATACATAACATAACTTGGTAATTAGGGAAATATTAAACCAAACAAAAAATCTAAGATTACCTACTTATTTATTACAATATTAGATTACATATGTAAAAGACGTAAACGTTAAGTTTTTGATTAGTGTTTAATAAAGCAATATTTTAATTAGCATTTATATTAATTTCCAGGCTGATGCGTCCAAGTCCCACACTCAAGCTTCTAACACGCCTCAGAATAATGAGAAACCCAAGCCGCAACTGCTTTACGCCATCAACGACAATCCCCCATGGTACCTGAGCATCTTCCTCGCATTCCAGCACTACCTGACCATGATTGGAGCCATCGTTTCGATACCCTTTATTTTAACGCCGGCTCTGTGCATGTCAGACGAGGACGCCAACCGGGGCATTATCATATCTACAATGATCTTCGTGACGGGAATAGTGACGTACTTCCAGGCCACGTGGGGCGTCCGGCTGCCCATTGTACAGGGTGGAACCATTTCGTTTTTGGTACCCACCCTAGCCATTTTGGCCCTGCCGCAGTGGAAGTGTCCGGAGCAGACCGAGATGGACTCCATGAACGTGGAGGATCGACAAGAACTGTGGCAAGTGAGAATGCGGGAGCTATCCGGCGCCATTGCCGTTTCCGCCATGGTGCAAGTTATCCTGGGCTACACTGGTCTGGTGGGAAAGATCCTCAAGTATGTGACTCCGTTGACAATTGTGCCCACAGTCTCGTTGGTGGGACTCACTCTGTTCGAGCACGCGGCTGACACGGCTTCGAAGCACTGGGGCATTGCCGTGGGGTGAGTATTGCTAATTAAATGCAAGTCTATTTAGAGGAAAATCCAGGCCTTAGCTCAGAACATTAAATATGATTGCTTTCTAGTTATTACTGCCTAATTGTCAGTACTAAATTCACAAATTGCATTTGAATAACTCAGAATGACTAAAGCTTGCTTTCTTTAAAACATCATAATTTGTCAAAGAAATGTTTTTTTTTTTCGTAAATTCCAATCTTTATTTTCCGCTTTAAAAAACAGTTTTTTAACCGATATGTATTAAAATAAGGTCCAAATATGGAATGTCATACCTTGTTGAACTCGTAATTTTATCCCCAATCGATTGGCATTCAAGGCTGGAGTTTTTTATTTTTGTCCATTTTTCTCAAAAAATTGTGATGTAACCCCTTATAAAAATTTCAAAAATGGGTAAAAAAATAAATTTTCAGGAAAGTGATGGGGATTGTTAGTTTAGATTGTTAGCTGCATAAAACGGTAGATCTCTTAGCTGTAGGCCTTTATTTGTTCAAATTTCGAGTGAAAAACCTCAAAAAAGGGGTATTTTGTATACATATTAATCGTAGAAATAAAGGATATATTTTATGTAAAAGTTAGAAGAAAGCGTTTGCTATATCCTATAAATTATATAAATTCTTGATCAGGGATCATGTCTGTCTGTGAATACTTAGATATCGGAAACCATAAAAGCTAGAAAGCTGTGATTAAGCATACAGGCTCAAGAGATTTCTGCAATATATTCTTAATAATTATAATAATACTTTAGTTAACATTGAACATTTCTAAATTTTCCACAGAACCACTGGCATGCTGACGCTCTTCTCGCAAATAATGTCGAATGTATCCGTGCCAATTTTGGCCTACCGCAAGGGTCACGGAATGGAGGTTCGGCAGTTCCAGCTGTTCCGCCTCTTTCCCGTGCTGCTGACCATAATGATAATGTGGGGTCTGTGCGGGATTTTGACGGCCACCGATGTCTTCCCTCCGGGACATCCTTCTCGCACCGATGTCCGCCTGAATGTGCTGACCAGTGCCAAGTGGTTCTATGTACCGTATCCGGGACAGTTCGGTTGGCCCTCGGTGACGCTCTCCGGCGTGCTGGGCATGTTGGCCGGAGTCTTGGCCTGCACAGTGGAATCACTCAGTTATTATCCCACTGTGTCGCAGATGTCGGGAGCCCATTCACCTCCGCTGCATGCAATTAATCGCGGTATCGGAACCGAGGGATTGGGCACTGTGCTCGCTGGTCTTTGGGGAGCTGGAAATGGAACCAATACCTTTGGGGAGAACGTGGGCGCCATCGGGGTCACCAAAGTAAGATTAATCTAAGATACATAACTTAAAATTCAGGCTAAGGGAATCATTATTTTTTTTCAATTTCAGATTGGATCGCGTCGTGTCATCCAGTGGGCAGCCTTAATAATGGTACTACAGGGGGTAATTGGCAAGTTTGGAGCCATCTTCATCCTCATTCCCGACTCAGTGGTGGGCGGGATCTTCTGCGTGATGTTTGGCATGATCATAGCCTTCGGCCTGTCCACGCTGCAGTATGTAGATCTGCGATCTGCTAGGAATCTTTACATCCTGGGACTATCCATATTTTTCCCAATGGTCTTGTGCCGCTGGATGCAGAAGAATCCCGGAGCTATTGACACCGGGAACAAGACAGTTGATTCCACCCTATCGGTGCTGCTGGGCACCACCATTTTGGTGGGCGGAGTTTTGGGATGCCTGCTGGACAATTTGATACCGGGAACTCCGGAGGAGCGGGGCTTGGTCGACTGGGCAAATGAGATGCCCCTGGGTGATGATAATGTTAACGATGGCACAGCCACCGATTACGATTTTCCATTTGGCATGGATGCGATTCGCCGTTGGAAATGGACCTACTACATTCCCTTTATGCCAACCTACAAGCTCCAGAAGCAAAGCTGATTGGATTATCAAAATTGCAGCCGTGGGATTTAATGTAAATAACAACCATTCAATTGGTGATTCGGTTTTTATTTATTTTTAGAAAACGCTGTTCGTGCGCTCACGCTCTAATTACAATTTGAACTTCGAATTCGGATTCTACCCAAAACTCTAGATCTATTACTTTTTGTTCCGTGTTCTTTGTTTGTTAATTTGCTTGTTAAATTCGCTTATCGTTTGTTGCTACGTTTTAACTAACACTCGCTCACAATTCGCATATTTTCTATTATTTTGCAATAACATCAATAGTCCTAGCAAACGAAAGTTCTTCCTATTAAACACTATTCAAATCTCGAAAACAACCCATCAGTTCTGTATAATGCAAAAAAATTGTTGTTAAAATTATTTCATAGAAATTTTAACGCATTTTCGGCGCGAGGTATTCTCACAAAAATAGCATAGAAAATACATATACATATATTGTGAAACACGTCCCTTATTTACTTCTGTCTCTCTTTTTCTGTCCGTTTCCGCTTCCGTTTAAGTTCCGTTCCGCTTACACACTTACAGATTAAAATCAACGCTTTATGACTATTGGCTAAATCTAAAACCACCGAAGGAACCAAGGCACAATCATTTGAAAATCGTATTTATATGCACACGTGCATTATTGAGTCACGATCTATGGCTGAAACTCCGCTATTTCCGAACTACAACAAACCTACGACTAGGGGCAGCGTCGAAAAGTCTGCACTAGAGTATAACTTTGGCTAAGTTCCATACAAAAATTATCAAAAATCTCTAAGCCTAAGTGGGGTTTTGGGTATATGGTATATAGTATATAGTATGGGGAATCTGGGATCCAGTCTAGAACTTGTGCTGCTCGTTGTGATGGTGGTTGTAATGGTGGATGGCGCCGGGCGGTTGCTTCTTGGTGCCGCCGCTGCTGGCACGCGAGGATGACGAGGAGGCGGTGGTGTTGGGCGGCGTGCTCATGGCCTGGCCATGTCCGTGCCCGATCCCATGTCCGGTAGTCGTCTTCTTTCGTTTGGAGTAGTAGCAAAAGATACAGAAGCCGTTCTGCGGTGTGGTACATCAAATGTTTGTCGGACTGCGAGTGGCCGATGAAGTGCGATAACGTGATCCGGAGCTGGAAAATATATTTGAAAATAGTTATTACCAAATCTCTTAGGAGCAGTCATCCAACTCAGTGCTGCCATTACTCAGCTTGAAAAACCGGACAGATAAGCAAAAAAAACAGGGAAAAAATGACAACATTTTGTGAAAAAAGGGACAAAAATAAATGCGCCTCCATTTTTCTGTTTTTACCAATGGGTTATATATTTACTTAATTTAAATGGATTTTATATTAAATTCAATTATGTAATGATCTACTGCGCCCGACTCACAACCTTCTTCGTTTGATCATTTTAACATGGTAAATTGTTGGGCGTATACGTAATAATCTAAAATTATTAAATTAATAAAAGCATTTCATGTAACTACATTGGTAATACAAAATTAAATTAAAAAAAGAAATTTTTAAAATGTTTTCCCGTTTTTTTTTTTGCTACATCTCTTTGATAATTTGTAAAAATAATTATTTTTTTAATGCCGAACTGTAAGAATGTCGGTTAAAAGGCGATTTAGCATTTAAAAACAGGTTTATGCACTTTCGACTAGCAAAAATAACACTCAAAACCTTTTTTTTTAAAAAAGGACAGATTTCGGGATAGGGGATTTTTGAAATTTTTTGTGAATAAAGCCATTAAAAAAAGGACAGATCTTTCCGGAAAAAGGACAAAATGGCAGCACTGATCCAACTACTCACCGTGAAATGCTGGAGGTGTAGTCCCTGACCGGTGTCCTCGCCTCTCTCCGCTGATAGGAAACTCCCTCGCCGCTCCGGCTGCTGCTCGTGGTCGGTGGCTCCAGCAGGGACATGGTGCGATGGTCATAGGCCCGAATCGATCTCCTGCCCAGGGTGGCATATCCCTCCAGGTGGCTGCTCCCCGCTGCACTGCTGCTGCCGCTGGTCGCCGTGGGCAGGCTGCCATTCAGGGTGTACGATGACCTGCGCTTCGGATTGTACGTGTTGTAATAGCCACTGGCAATGGCCCCGTTGCTCGGACTCGAACTGGAGGAGCTCTTGTACCGCATGGGCACCGAACTGTAGTCGCTGGTGGTGGTCGTTTCGTATCGCTTGCTGAGGAACGAGGGCGAGGTATTCCTTATGTCGTTCAAGCTCTTCCTCGGCTTGCTAGTGGCCCCCGCCGACGAGGCGGAATAATCCAGCGGTGAACGGTAGACGGGAGGCTTCAGTTCCGTGCCCACGGGACTCAGTTTCAGCGGCCGGAAGAACTGCTGGGCAATGTCCGGCGAATGGGCTCGCGGTGCTGGCGGTGCATCCATCTCCGTGGCGTGCAGTTTGTGACTGGAGCGCGCCTTCACCGCCGCCTGCTGCTCGCGATAGTAATCCCTCACTGCCGAGGGACCCACTATGCTGCTGGTTCTTCTCGGTTTCTTCTGCTCGTTGAAACGACTGTAGAAGCTGCGCCGCTTGATCCGATCAATCACACTCTCATTCGGATCCGAGCTCTCGGAGCAGCGGGTGGGCGAGGAGAGAGAGGCTCTGGAGAGGCGGGAAACCGTCGGCGAGGGCGTGGCATGCAGCATATAGTTATCCTCCGAGCAGATGGACCAATTGTCAAAGTACAACTCTGGCTCTTCGGTGGGCGAGAGGAAGGTCGAGGTGGAGGCGCAGTCATCCTGGTAGCTCCTCGAATCGGAGGAGTAGTTGGCAATGTTCTCGAAGGAGGGCGTCAGCAGGGGATTATTCCGATTGATCTCGTGGGCCGATGAGGTTCTGTAGCCCGAAGTCTGCGAGCTGCAATTGTTATTCGTATTGGTGGAGTTATTGTTGGTCGCATTCTCCATGGACTGCTGGCTGGAGCTGGCACTCTTGATGGCTCCCGGATAGGGCGGCAAATTCGAGTAGATGGCCAATCCACCGCCGTTTCCATTGAGCAGAGCTGGGTTAGTTTTGGATCCACGGTAACTGCTCCCGCTGGTGGTTGTTGTGGTGGCCGTGGTCACCGAACTGGGAGCTCCGCTGCTCGACGCATTGGCGCTGGCCAGATCCAGCATGAGACCCTTCCGCTTCTCCTTGCTGCTGCTGGTGGCGGTTGGATTGGTCGTATTGCTTGGAGGATTGACCACGTTTTGCCCCTTGTTTTGCCGGCAATCTGGACAGGCCGACTCGCAATTGCAGTTCTCCTCAGCCGCTGGAGCAGCAGCCTTGACCTTAACCACATTCTGATAGATGGGCGATGTGGGTAGCGAAGCATCCAATAGCTTATCCTGCTCCTCTCGCACCTGCCGCTCAATGTTGCTGGTGGATCGGGTGCTCCTGACCCTGCGCTGTTCACTGCTCTCCCTGTCGAAGCGGCGCAGAAAGCCGCCGAACATCTTGTTAACGGCTCCACCCGATTTTCCCTGGCCATCATGCAGCTCCTCCACACTGGCCGCTCTCTTGGGACTCACTCGTCCATTGGGTTGGGACCGGGGCACGGATCTCTCCCTCAGGGAACGCAGCATGGTGTCAAAGCGGGATCGCTTGTCTACTCGTTTGTCCTCCGGGCCTCCCAGTTCCAGGGATTTCTCCGTCTCCAGGAGCTTCTTCTTCTGGTACTTCTCTGGGGAACTGCGTTCCTCGGGAGATCCCTGCTTTTGGGTGCAGGCCAGAGATGCTGCTGTTCCCGCAGAGCCCGCCTTCTTCTCCTTGCTCATCGCGGAGTCGCGCAGCTTCTCAAACTTCTGGCCCAAAGCGTAGAGCAATCCCTTGCTGGGCTTCTTCTCCGGCGACTTTTCCTTGGCCTTGATCACCGGACTGGACTCCTTGGAGCTGTCCACGGGTGAGGTATTTGCAGTGGTGGTTGCGGTTGTGTTCGGCGTGGTTGGAGTCACTGGAGTGGGTGGAACTAGCTTGGATTTCTTGGACACCTTGATGATCTTCTTGATGGTCGTGGGCCGCGAATCGCTGGATGAGGAGCCCGTATCCTTGACGTCTGTAACTGTGGACATTGTTCCCGTAGGCGTGGCCGACAGGGATTTCTCTTCGGAAGTGGACTTGGAACTGGTGGGCGTGGGCATAGCTTCTGCTATTGTGGGTATAGCCACTCCACTGCGGGTTACCTTGCGCAGCTCCTTGGGCGTCGCCAGTTTGGTGGCCGGATAGCTTTTGGGTCTCATCAGGCGACTTTCGCGAGGAGCAGGCTCTTCAGCGGATTCGCTGGTGAGTCCCGCGGGCAGCTTGCTGGGCAGTTTGCTGGGCAATAGGGAAGCACTGGGTTCTGGGATGTCCGTGGAGGATTTGAGGCTCAAGCCAAGATCTTTCATGGGATAGGACTTGGGTCTCTTTAATTTGGTTTCTTTGGGAGCGGAGCTGGCAATATCACTACTTTCCGGCTTGGTCGCCTCATCGGTTTTCTTAACCACCTTCTTGACCTTTCTCACCAAAGTGGTTGTAGACGTGGCTGATATCTTGGTTCCATCCGTCTCAAGTTCCTTGGGTTTCAACTTCTTCACCTTCTTGATCGTGGAGGTCTCCTCGGTTTTCTCCGTTTCCTGGGTCTGTTCATGTTGGGTTCTTGCGGCCGAAAGGAGCTGCAGCTCCTGGAGTATCTTGTCCGCCAGTTCGTGCTTGTCCAATTCCGTTTCCAGTTCGCGAGCCCTCGAAACACTGCGCTGCCTGGCTGATGAGGATTTGACTGGCTCCTGAGCCTGACCATTTGATTCGGCATCTGTGAACAACTCCATGCTCTTGTTGCGCGAGTGCCGCATGGAGGATCTGATGGGTGCCGTTTCTTGAGGCGCCTCCGCCTGCTCCACATTGGGCAAACTGTGCTTGCGACGCCTCAAGTCTTGGCCCTGCTGCTGCTCCTGATCCTGCTGGCGATCTACGGACTTTTCGCGTATCTCCCTCAGCATGCTTTGTGTCTCCCGATCCCGTGGATCATCGAAGAAGTCGGGACGCAGGAAGCGGGAAATTCGACGCTGCGAGGAGCGTCCAATCCTCAGGGATTGCGATCCCTCCGTGGCAGCCACTTGTGGCAATTGCGGCGGCGGCGAAAGGCAACCACTCGGCGGACGTCCCAGTCCGCCGCTGTAACGCTTCTCCGGCGCATCCTTCGCGACTGGAAGCGATGGACTCACATTGCTGGACTTGCTCAGATACGGCGAGTAGTACTTGTACTTCTCGCTAATGTCGCTGGTGTAGGTGCTGCTGCTGCAGAGGGAGGATTTGCCATAGTCATCGCGGCAGACGCTGCTGCTCCTGCTTTTGGTTGTCTGGCTTTCCTGGGCAGGATTCTGGGAACTGGGCGCCTGACTGCGACTGAGGCTTCGCCGGTAAATGGCTGTACTGGCTGCCGTTGTCTTGGGCGCATCTGTCAGGGGTTTGGCCTCCTGCTGCTCCTCCTGGTAGCCCCTTCCGCCGCTCTGGCTGCGTTTGTAGATTTTCGGGGTGGAGGAAGTACTCGGAGCACTGGGAGTCTGAACGCTCAGCGTGCGGGATAATTTGCGTGCTTGAGTAGGAGGCAGTTTGGCCAGCAGTTGCTCCTGAAAACACTTGGGCAATCCCGGCGTTATGCTGGACAAGGTCTCCAGATCCTTTTTGCTCAGGCGCAGCCTCGAGAGATCCAGATCGGCCAGATCCAGGGGCTCCTCACTGGTCGAAGATCCCTTAACCGAATCCTTTTCCACTTGGGCAGGAGCTGAGCTGGGCTTCACCTTGCCCTGATGATGACCTGTGAATAGGTCAAAAATTCCAGGAACAATATAAACATTTGGCATCTTCTGGAAAATTAAATACAAACGTCTAGTGATTGATAAAGTATTCCACTTACTTGCCAAATGAACTGATGGAATTTTTATTATTCAGGATTACTTACATGGTGATTGATTGGTCAACTGCCCCACTTCCTCAGCCCCAGAGATCTGAAAACTTTTCTCGTTTTCGTTTTTGGCAACCAAAAGAATTACTTTCCAGAGACGCAATCAAAGCGGGGAAGCTTCAACTCGAACACTTAACAAACTTGCAGGATGTGAAGGATTACGAGTATCCAAAGGGTTAACAAAAAATCAACAAAACAACTGGGATTAGCTCACGTGCAGGTCTAACGATTAACGGGCAGTAACAAAATGCTGGACAATTTGGATTTCATGTTTTATTTCACTTGGTGTACGTATAAAAATAGTTTCATATAGTTTAGGGTTTTTCAGTTTAGATGTTTAGTTCGCGGTTATCAGTTTTAGTATTAGGCTTTAAGTAAACGTATTGCTTAGTTGGTATGCTTGAAGCTTTTGCGCTAGAGGAATTGCTTGACTGAGGCGAATGTAGAATGAGTTGGGTAAAAATGACTTGAGTACGCGTAACTCTCGTTGAGGTTTAAAATTAATTTTTAAAATCAAAATCACAATAATACAATGTACAATATACATTGTACTCAAGGGAATGCTGTGTTGCTGTTGTTGCCTCAAATAAAAAATACATGACTTTGGAATTTTAAAATATAAAATATAATAATAACATTTAAAAAGCCGAATTCCAGTTAATCCTTGGGGATTCTCACTCAACAAATTTGTAGCATTTAAAAATTTAAAAAAAAATAAAAACAAATATGCAAATTGAATTTTGGCAACATAAAAGATGGAACTCGTTTTTCGGGCAGTCTATGGGAAAAAGGCAGCACCACCCAACCACCCAACCACCAATTTCTTGGCTTTATGGCTTCCTTGGGGGGTTGCTGGTGGTTGAGGTGGTGCTGGTTTTGGCCGGCAGCTGGGTTGCGGTGATTGTGCCCGCGGATTTTATGGCCGGGATGGCTGGCGGCCTGCTCCTGCCGTTGGCGTTGCTACTGCTGCTGTTCGTGGTGGTCGTGGTGGTTATCGTTAGCTGCTTCGGAACCCCGGCAACGGCAACGGCCACCGTTTTGGCCGTCGTCGTGGCGGTGGCGGTGGCAAAATGACCCGGATGCGTTTTGGTGGCGGTACTGAACGGACTCTGGTTAATGGTTATAACATGCTTTGTGGGCGTGGTAGTAGTAGTTAAAGTAGTTAAACCAACTGTAAACGAAAGTAAGTACAAAACGTGTGTAAACGGCCAATAATAAAATCATTAGGTATTCGTAAAACATCAAATCATCGGTTGGTTGATGGCTTGCTGAATCACTCAAATCACTCGAGTAAATCGCTCTAACTACGACTACGGTGGCTTTTGATCATGATTTTATGGGGGGTTAAGATTTATTTCTCTACATTATGGAATGATGATGAACGTAAACAAGTTCGATTAGTAGCTGAGAGAGTTTCAGTTCTGTACATTATCGTATTCAAAGTTTTGGACATTTTTTTCTTGGTGTTGCTCTATCAACTCTGTTTCACATTTAAAAAGAGATTGCCGTTGGGTTCAATATTATGATTCTAATTCAAGTGGTTAAAGATTCATCCAAAAAAAGCCCAGAACTCAGAAATTTGTTTTTGTTTTTTTTAATATATTTTTTTTTTGAATTTTTTGGAAACAATAATTTTTTAGTGCCAAGTTAGTTGGTTGGTTTGGTTGTTTTTTTAGCTGGTTTGCTGGCGGTTTTTTAACAGCGTGGACAGAGTAAACTACATTGAGAAGCTTTGGGTGTGTTGGTTGCTTGGTGCGCATGTATTTGTATTTGCATGTGTGTGGGTGTGCGTGTGAGCTTAGTGGTGTTAAACAAATAAATTTCTTGTACAACACAAATTTTGGTTTAATTTCGTTTACTTATTATTCGCTTTTTGTTTTGCATTTTCGGGGTTTAATTCAGTTTGTAACTAATAAAAAACATCAAAAAGAAGAAAAACTGGGAAACTCAACTTGAAACTTTGTCTTTTGGTTTTTATTTATTGGGTTAGCGCATTAGGAAACTTGTAGTTTGTTTTGTTTGTGGTTGGTGAGGGGATATATATATATTTATAAAAAATATAAATATACGTATTTAAACGAGTTGGTAAAACTAAAACAAATTTAAGGTAGCGGGGCCATTTGCATAAAAAACTGTACAACAATTAAATTGCCAAAGAAAATATCATATCGAACAATTCTTTTGGTTGCGAAAACAAAATCTCAGTGGTCACCACAAATAAAATAACAAAAGGTTTTGTCTTCTTTCGTTTGGATTGTTTTTTTTTCTTTTTTATTGTCATCTATGTTGTTGTTCTCACTGCAAAATGTAGTAAATTTATTAGGTGTTGGTTTCATTCGCTTTAGTTTATTTCACTGTTAACATTAAGTACAATCTTCTCGGGTCGCCATCCACATATTTTCATCATCTCATTTCGAATAACATTTAGGTCAAGGGTTAGGCCTGATTTGGGTTCGCCATAAACGAATATATATATAGATATTTGTATATATCCCTTGAGCGTGTGTCTCTAGATAACTGCGCTGGTATACAGAACTTTGAATACGATTTGATTACACTTCTTATTGACTTAACAAATTCTTGGGGGTTTCTTCATCGCTTTTCTTTGCTAAGTAACTTTATTTTCATCATCATTGCATGAGTGCAGAACAAAAATTTGAAAGGCAAATCATAAATGGGGTAAATAAAAACTAATAAATAAATAGTGCATAAGTTAAGGTAGAAAGTGGGGTGGTTTTCTTCTGTTGAGCAATAAATAAATAGATATTCTGGTTTGTAAGCGTCAGCGGCATTTTGGGTTAATAACAAAAGAGTGGTGCTCTAGGACAGACAGCATTTAGATAGATAGATAGATAGATAGTAGTTATAGATAGTTCACTGGATAGAGAATAGATATAGAGTGAATATTGATTGAGATTGAATTATGCTATTAAGAACTGTGCGCGCACACAAAACAGTAAATCAAATAAATATAGTCTTCAACGGAAATAATGGTTTGTCATTGTTTAAGTATTAATTGGCATTTTCACTTGATAATTACAGTAGACACTTATGATTAATTATTGTGTTTTGGCTATTGTTTTATCTGGTTTTTATGGGACAATATAGGGTTTTAGACTAAGTAGACAAAGTAGTTCTTTCGATCGGTGATCTGTGTTCATTTGTTTGTTTGTTTTTTGTTTAGCAGACATCAAAAACTACTTGAAATAAAACTGTTTTAATTAAGTTTACGATATAGGCATATTGAAAGTGAAGGTATTCTTATTTACGTAGCATACGTTGCAGCGCATTTCTTTCTTTAGTTCTACATTTGTATTGTTCTTTATTCTTTTTTTCTTGTTTTTTTTTGTCTGTGCGGCTTCATCGTCGCTGGCTCCGATTGGCGTGTCTCACTACTGATCTAGGTATTTACTCTTTATTCTGTGATATTCACCTCTTGGCAGCGTGGCCCCCGTGCGCGAGAACATCGATTCCATGTCGCTGCCCAGATCCCGGGACATGCTGTGCCGCCAAGGAGCTCCCAGTCCGCTGCTATTGCTGCTATTCAGGCGGCTGTGAAGGATATTGTAATTGAGATAAGCACAGTGGACGCACGGGTGAGAACAATGCATTAGCGATTTCGATTTCCTTGCGCCGAGGGACTTGCACATTACATACGGGGTGAGCTACATACGGTTGCCAAAACTTACAGGCAGCATTTGGGGGCGTGGCCCAACCACCGACGCAGCCGCTCCGTAATGTTCAAGACCCTCAGCCAGCGCCACCCGCACCTGGAAACAGGAGCAGGAGCAGGAGCAGGTGAAAGACAGCCAGGTATAAGGTATGAGGTATTGGGTATTAGACGATATGGATGGATGAATGGATTGCGGTTTAATTGTGCGATGCGAAAGTGAGTTCTGGGTGGGCTTTAAAGCAGCGCACAGTGAGTTTCAAACCAAATTTAATAGGAATTTAATGGACTCGTTAAAATGATATGCAGCCACAAGCAAGCTTTATGAATATTCAAGTTTTAAAATTCTAAGAAAGTCACAAATACCTTTGAAAGTACTTTCACTATATAACAAATATTTTTTATACCCTTGCAGAGAGTAATATAATTTTAGTAAAAAGTTTGAAGAAATCTGTCCGTATGTAAGTCTGTCCGTCTGTCCGTTTCTAATAGATGAAACTAACCCTTCTTTTTATATTGTATTTTTTTTTAAGATTTATACATATTACTATATAAAAAATGTCAAATTTAGTTCTTTAATCGTTATCAAAACTTCTTTAAATTTGGTTCCAAATCGCACTGTACTCTTAAGCATGGTTGTATAGGCTCTTGAACTGTTTAAAAGTAATTCCGAACCTTAGTACTTACACTTTCTTCTTCTCGACCGTTTCGCTATACGTATAACTAACTTGAGATCTAAGCACACTTTGCGTACAATTAGTTTAAGCATGTTTGGTGAGTTATTTTTTGTTATTTGTTAGATGGTAGGCATGTGGAGGGCAGCATGTAAGAAATGGACAACAAATTTGCAGTTAATGTCGGTGGGTGGATAAAAGCAGACGTCCAATGGTTGAAGCTACAGAGGATGCGAATAGCAAATGGCACCCATCTTTAGCTGAAGCCAGAAGCCGGCTCTTAATCAAATAACTCTCCAGGGAGACAGCCGCTCCAAGGGAATTTAATGAAATTATTAACTAGAGCCAGTGTCGCGACACGTTTGCATAAGCTGACTGACTGACTGACAGGCAGTCCGGGCTAGGATGGCAATCAACTTTTGCTGCGCCACTCCAATCTCCATTCCCTCGCCCTTGAGGGCGCACTCACCTGGCAAAGGGACTGCCCTGGCTCCAGAATGGACTGTGACTTTGGGCCTGCCGCGAAATGTCCGTGAGCAGGCGACTAGAATGGCTGGGGAATCCGACCGTCAGGTCACTGTTGACGTTCAGGCGATTCGTTAGGGCCCGCACCTAAAAATCACCCAAAAGGAACACGACTGTTGAAAGATGGGCCACATTACGGCGAACGGATGACGTCTTACCCGCTGCAGCAAAGTCGAAAACAGATTCTCCGCCGTGAGTATCTCAAAGCCATCGTCATCGTCATCGTCCTCCTCGTTGGAGCTTTGCGAATCGTTGTCTTGACTAATTTTCTTGACAGGTCTTGAGCTTCTGCGGGTGCGTCAAATGGAAAAAAGAAGATATATGCATGATGATGAGAATAACCGAATCAAACGGCAGTCAAGGAGGTCGGGGAGCAGGAAACTGTGCAAGCCAGATTCAATTTAGCAATCCAGTTACTTATTCATGAACTACACTCAAAGGAAGTAGTAAGATAAAAGACCAAAATGACTTTAAAGTTCGTCAAATGTACCTTTTATCTTGTATATCTTGTATCTTTTAGTACTTGAAAATTATCGATATTTTCGATATTTTTAAGGAAAAACACGTAATAAATATCGATAGAAAAACTGTCGACACTTTTTAAAGCTCTATTATGTTCTAACTTTATGAAGAAATTAAATTCAAATAAATTCTATTAAAATAATAATTAAATAAATATTTGTCAGGATTATTCTTCATTAAATTCTAGCACGTATTTAATCATCATTTAATTAAATTTGTAGACTATTAGTGATTTATTCGACCTATGTTTACTATTGAGTAGGGGAGAGTGGGGGAATTTCGTCAGCATTTTTTCAAAGCTATTTTTTGTCCATCTTGAGACACGTTATCATATTTCTATTTTTATTGTTGAATGCGGTTAGCACCAAGCTTTAAAATGTGACATTTCCCTATTTTTTTAATTAGCTTGGTGATTTATAAAAAAATAAAATGTAAAACCAATATACTGGGGCAATCTCACCACACAGGGGGGTAAAATCACCACACAACTGGGGAAATTTCGTCACCTGAAAAATGTAGGGAGTTTAACGCCTGAAAATATGCTACACTGATCAAGCGTACCATTTTTGTTGACGTCCTATATTTGTTGCTGCTGCTGGTAGTCTGTTCGTTAGCCAGCTCGTCAAATATAAAAATATGTATTTAAAATAGGTGCGAATTTACCCTTAGCGTAGGGTGGCGAAATTTCCCCAGACCGTACTTTTTTAGAAATAATTATTTTTTTTGCGAAATTAGGCGCGAAGTTAAAAATCACTGACGCAGAAATGCACATTATAGCACTGTGTATTATATAAAAAATCGTGTGTCTTATTCCTTTTGAATTGTGGCATACAGAAAAAATTTCGTCGAGAACTAAATGTAGCTTTTGAACTGTTAAAACACATTTAATATTATAGCTTAATTATCTTGGCCTTCTGTGCAAAACAAATGCATTGGTTGTGTCTGGCCTTCTTGAAGGACTAAAACAAAAAAATTATATATTTTTACGACTTATGGATTCCGAGATATTGCAGGTGACGAAATTGCCCCTGTGACGAAATTCCCCCACTCTCCCCTACTTTATCGGACTCAAGGTCATTTTAGTTGGTTATAAATAACTCAACAGTTTCTAGCATTTCAACACACTTTAATGAACTATTTTTGTAGGATGAGAGAAAATACTTGATTTTCTAATTCTTATGCACTTTCTTTGAGTGCAGGAGAGAGAAAAACCTTTTGGGCTAAGGATAGGGATAAGCGGAAGTTAGGATGTGGGCAAACCTGAGTCGGTGCGGGGTGAAGCGGGCCTCGTCCTCGGCTCCTCCGCTGACGCCATCCCGGGTAATCGAAGTGGTGCGCATCTTCTGGAATGGCGAGCCCTCATCGAAGCCCGCCTCGCTTAACAGTGAGCTGCATACGAAATCGAATTCAGTAAACTGCACAGGAGAAGCAATGGGAATTTTTTTAAAGCTTAAACTTTACCCAATGCGACGCGATGGACGCAGGCGGGTGAACGTGGACCGACTGCTGGTGGTGTGGCTCGATTCCGATGGCTCCACGCTGCGTTCCCGGGGCGTGATGAAGCCGCCTCCCTCGACGGCAATCGGGATGATAAACTCCCGCGGACTCTTCTTGATGGGCTGCGAGGTGCTCGTGATGGTGGCCTGCGACATATTCGTGGCCGTGGTGGTCGCATCCGACTCGGATTCCACCGTCGACTGCCGTGACAGCGAGCCGGAACTGCAAGAGGTCATGAAACAGGCGAAATCCATCATAAGCTTACACAGGAAATTAAGTTGGTTTTTTGTATCTAACTTGTATCTACATGGCGTATTTTAAATGATTTACTCTTTTATATTGATTGGTTTAAATTAAATATTCATGAACTAGAAAAGCAAAACAAAGGCCAATCGAAAACCCTTTAAAATGGATTAATAAAATATTATTTAATTTAAATTATTTGTTTTGTTAGCCTGTTGGTTATGCATTTTCCCTGTTTATTCAACTATTTATTATTTAATAGTGGTTTCGTTTAAGGCAATATAAAAGAGGAATCAAAAGAAACCTGATAACCTGTACCCTCCAATTTGAGTTTCATTCAACCAATTATATTGAATTTTCTTCGCGCGGACGAAAAGAAAAATCGAGGCAATAAATTGGCGAATTATACACCCCTGGGAAAGTTCCCATCCGGTGTACTCACCGCGTGGTTGTGTTGGAGCCGGTGCGTCCGTAGGCGTGCTGCGTGGGCGGTCGCTGGATGGTGATGACATGCTCCTTGGGCTCCAAACTGGTGGCCCTCGCCTGCACCGTCGTCTTGATGGGACTGTAGGGGATGGGGCCCTCGCGGGGCGGGGCACTGCGCAGATCGGCGACCGGATGCTGCATCTCCGTGCTGAAGCGCATCGCCGGCTGGGGAGGAGCTCCCTGTTCCGGGATGCGAGGCTTGATGTCCAGCTGCACCTCCGCCTTGGCGTTAATCTTGCGACGCGGCAGGGTGGCCGATTTGAGGGTAATCGAGGCAGTCGATGTCTTGACCGCTCCGGGTGGAGTTGGAGGTCCTTCGATGCCCGGCGAGGCTGTAGATTAAAGAGTACAATAATTACTTTGAGTTAATCCTTTTTTTGGGAAAGTGTACATTGTAAAAAGGTGCAAGAGGAACAAGTAAGCAATTAAAGCATAAGTAACACAGTAAGAGAACACAAATAGAGTAACTTTGAGGCCAAAGGAGTGCAGTTTCGAGGGTTAAGGCGCGCCTGTGTTTTTTTTAGGGGTGGGGTTATGCCGAGACTACTACTTGAAAAAGTCAGAAAAACAACAACGAGCACGAACAACAATAACAACAAGAACTGCAACAGCAGCAGCAGCAACATCAACAACAACGAGAACGAGAACAACAACCACACATCGAGAACAACGAGAAGGGAAAGCCAAAGATTTGGGGTTTTCGGGAAAAGGAAAGCCAGGATATTATGATACTGATTAACCTTGGACTCCTCCAAAGGCCATTCAGTGTTCATATAGCAAAAGGGAGCGGAAAGAATAACAAATAATCGAGGAACGCAACAGGAAACGGAAACGGATCGAGTGGATTGCTTCGGTTTTTGGTTTTTGTTTTTTTGCAGGCACACATAGCACAAAGCACATGTTTCTTTTTTGTTTTCGGTTTCGGATACGATTGGTTTTTTTTTTTTGGTTTTTGGAGCCGCTGCCAAGACTTACATTTCAGCCACATAGCCGCAGGCAAGGCACATGTAGCACTGGCATTGGTATTGAGTGTGTCTTGAGCTTGATTATGATTGAATGGTCTCGTGCGCGAATTGACATTGTATTTGAGATTAGGCATCGTGTTGCAGTTGCCTATGTTGCTGTTGCTGCTGTTGCCTCTATTGTTGCTGCTGCTGGTACCGCTGTTGCTGCTGTTGTTGCTGCTTCCGTAGGTGGCTGCTGTTTGGGCGAGGGCATGGCTGGCGGCATATTGTGGCGATGGAGGCGGTGTGAATAGAGCACTCGGCTTCTGATCCTCCTGACAGCGCTGCTGATATTGCTGCTGCAGCATCTTGAACGGACTACTCGCACTCGGCGGCGGTTGGAAAATGCTTGCCGTGCTGTAGGAGGCCTGCGGTTGCCAGGTGGCCGGTCTTCTGGTTAAGGAATTGCTATTTGGACTGGCCAATCCACCGCCGAAAATCCTCTGCTGTATCGTTTGCTTGGCCGCAGCCAAAGCATTGGGTGATATCAGCACCGGCGGTGCCGTCTGGGGTTCCATAATCGGTGGCGATGTTGCCGCTGCCGCTGTTCCCGGCGATATTGCTCCTGAATAGCCCATAAAATTGATGCCACTCTGTGCTCGCTTGGGTGCACTGTTAACAGACGAACCACCACCACCAACACCACCACCCACCATGTCATTCCCATAGCCATTGCCGTTGCCGTTGCCGATGCCATAAAACGGTGTTGGCCTGCGTATCACTAAAATTAAGATGATGAGTCAATGAATATGATGAGCGTGTATGGAAGATGGGGTGGGTCGATCACATGGAATTTTAGGCAAAGTTCCTTCAAAATCTCAAAAGTACTTTTATAAAATAAAATATCTAATTATATTGCAATTTTCTAAAAACAAAGTTTATAATTTACAAAGAAAGAGCCGTATTAATTTATATTCGTACTTTTGAATTGTGATTTCTCAGTATTTAGAGAACCAGAAATACTACTAGTTTGATATTTAAGTCCTTACGAATCGAACCACCTCATCGATGAGGTAGACAGCACAAGAGGGAGCGATAGACAAAAGACAGGTGAGTTTGAAAATGATGATGATGATGTCGATGATGAGTGTATTTTTTGCTTGAGGATTTCATTCTTTATTTCTTTTTTTTTTTTATTGGCTTTGTGGATTGGCCAAGCGAAAATGCGAAATTGGAAAGGAGGATTCGCTCGGTTTTTGTTGGTTCTTCAGATGAAGTTCGGTGAGTGTGAGCAGGAGATTATATTCCAAAAGCCAAATATAATCCATGCAGCACTCGGCTTGCAAAACGTTCACATACACATTGAAAATGGAAAGGAATTAAATATATATGCCAAAGTAAAGATAGAAAACAAGACGATGGCACCGGGTTTTGCCAAGTACAAGTCAAAAGTTATTTGAATAGAGGGGGAGAAAATAAAGAAAAGTGTTTTGAAAGTTCGAATCAATTAAGTTTGTGGGGGTATTAGAAAGTTCTCAGTTTCTACTTTATCAATATTTTATTTAAGATATTTTTCTGAATTTATATATCGTCTTTAATATGTTTGGAAATGGATATAGATACTTGATAACTTGACTTGTACCCTGATGCAAAACCTGATACCATTTACTAGTGCTAAGTAATGCTAGTAGTCAACTTGAAAGCGCTGCGTGGTTTAGCTTAACTTAGGTACGGATATCATAGTCTCTATAAGGGGTAGAATCTTAGGATCTGCATGCAAAGATCACTCACCTGGCTGGATGGCATTTCCGATGATGGCGCGGGCGTTCTTCAACTTACGCTCGCGCTCCTGCAAAGTTGCTGGCTCACTGACTCCAATTGTCTCCGTTTGGGCACACAGCTGGTCCACCTCCTTGCTGGATTCGTTTTGAGCCTGCAGCAGCAGGGCAATGGAGTTCTCCATGGAGCGACGGGCCTCGTCCAGCGAAATGGAGGCCACCGAGTTTTTGGAATCGCTGGCCTCCAGGGATTGCGAGGCCACCACTGGCGATGGCGGCGGAGTGCTCAAAGCTTCGGCTTCCTGGGCCGCCGCTGCTGCTGCTGCCACCTGCTCCTGGGCCCTCAGTTCACCCGGAGTGGGTCCTTCTACGGTCGGAGGATTGGTGGCCTTCTTCTCGAACTCCTTCTTGAAACTGCCCACACTGACGCCGGGTATGCTGAGTTTCTTGGGTTTCTCTGGAGGAGTTACTCCTGCTGCTGTGGCCACTGGCGGCGGTGGTTGGAACTTCTCGGCCGTCTCCAGAATGCGCGATTTCCGACGCTCCGAATTAAATTTGTTCAGTGTGGTCTCATCCTGCAGGCTGCACTTGCGCACGAAGGGCGGAGCAGCAGCCACGGGCGCCACCGCCTTGGAGGCACTCTCATTGATGGCATTCACCAGATCGGCGGTCTTGTGCTTGTTCACAAACTTCTTGATCACCTTGGTGGCGTCCTTCTCCTCGGGCGTCTCCGCCACAGCATCCAGTTTGCCCCGGGTGGCCTGGCGAGCAACAGGTGTGCAGGGTGCAGGTGGTGCAGCTGCCACGGGAGTGGTGGAAGAATTTCCCATCAACTGCTCGCAGAGATCGCCCACCATTTGCATGTCTTTCTGGGAGTAACTGGGCGCTGGTGCCGGGACCTCCTCTGGTATATTGGCAATCGTTTCCGCCTCCATGAGCGTCGCTTGGGGTTCGATGATGGTCGGTGGTGGGGCCTCAGTCAGCGGCGCACCATCCTTGCTGATCACAAACGAGCTATTGGCCGGCTTCTCCTTCTTCTTGGCGGTGGTTCCGGCTGCATTCTCCGTGGAAACAGTGGGCTGCAGCTTCCTCTTCGTTTGCACCGGACTCTGGGCGGGCGTAATGGTCCTGGTGGGTGAGGGCATCAGGGCGGCTTCTCCTCCAGCTGGAAAACATTCACCAAGCAGACAGAGAGAGAGAGAGAGAGAAAGGGTGGCGTGGTTTAATGAGTTTGGTTAAATGACTTTAGTTTCAAGTTGTTTAGTACACTCGCAAGTGATGGGGTTATGTGGTTGGGATTTGGTTCCGGGAGCAGGATCAGTTAGTGGGTAGGTCGGTGGTGTTCGGTTGGTGTCGGTGTGTGTTGGGCAGCCAGTTAGTCTCCATTTATATACACAATAGGGTGGGGCGATTTGCTGGACTAATATCTGAACGGGAGAGTAATCTATGAACTCAGCTAAGCAATATTGTGGTGGAAATTTAAAAACATTATTATAACATTTTTATTTACAAGAATTAAAATACCATAACAAGTTTTAGGTCAAAATACTACACCCAAAAAAAAAAATTAAAAGTGTTAGCACTCTACACGTTGTATTAAAAATATACTAGGGGCCGTTTTCTCGTCCGCCTGTTAAATTTAAAGTAGGGTTAAAACTCTGATTTCCCATACGATTTCATGGTTTTAACCCTGCTTTAAATTTAACAAACGGACGAAAAAACGGCCCAAGATGTATTATAAAAAATTTGTATTGACCTAATACTAAATAATACAAATTCTATACTCAGTAGTATTAATTTCATATGAAATATTACAAACTTAATATTTTGAAGTTTCATTTCGTTTCTATGACTATTTTTTTTGGATGTAGGTAAAAGCTAACAGAAATAGTTTTAAGCATTGCGTATCATTTTTCATAGATTACATAGATTTTACGATAATATTATGTCCGCACAAATCGACCCATCCTATTCCACAAGTTTCTCAGCGCGGGTTGCTGCACGGGAACCACTATCTCACACACTGGGGACCACTCAAGCGATTTCAGAAGCGACAAGCAGGAAGATGGAATTCCACTTACCGGCCACCATGTCCAGAATGCGGCGCTCCGCCTCCGTGTTCGGTGGTCCCATGTCGCGGATCGAGCCCACCGAATGGGAGCGGGGAACGCGTTCATTGGCCGCCGCCTTGGCTGCAGCTGCTCCCTCAGCCGACGGCACCACCAGCTGATCCGCCGTAATTGTGGCTGGCGTGAGTGACAGCAGGACATCCAAACGCACTGGCGTCTGATTGGCCAGATCCTCGGCCAGGTCCAGGCAGGACACATTGTCGTTCTCGTTCACCCACCAGTGCGAGCAGATCTGCTCGATGCTGGCCCGCTTCCGCGGACACACGGTCAGCATGTCCCGGATCAGGGTGGAGGCCCGCGAAGGCTTCCTCGGCTCATAGTAGTCGCCCTGGCTGATCTGCTTCACCAGCCGCTTGAAGTTGGACCCATCGAAGGGCATGGAGCCGTAGACCAGCGTGTAGAGCAGCACGCCCAGCGACCAGCAGTCCACCTCGGGTCCCTGGTACGGAGTTCCCTCCACGATTTCTGGCGAGGCGTAGAGTGGGGAGCCGCAGAAGGTGCCCAGCAGGCGCTGGTCGTCGAACACATTCGACAAACCGAAATCGGCAATCTGAAAAAGTAAGAATTTTTAAATATTTTAAATGTAAATATATAGTTATTGAAGAGCAGTTATTTACTTGCATAAAGATTAAATAATTTATTGTATTATATAAATCTTAATGCAGAGCTTATAAAGTTTAGATCATGATAGTTCTTTCAGAAACACAACAAATTAAAGTTATTTATAATTTAACTATATATATTTCTATTTCGAATCATTTTAAAATCTTGTGCTTACCTTCGCATTGCCCCTCAATTTTTAAATATTGTTAATAAATATATAGTTATTGAAGAGCAATTATTTAAATTAAATTTCTTTAGTAGAGATTAAATACTTTACTATACTATTAATATTAAGCTATTCTATTCAAATTAATGTTACTTACAATATTGTTATTGTTTATATTGTTATTTATTATATTCTCATCTAAAATCACTTTAAAATCCTTTGCTTACCTTCGCATTGCCCTTCTCGTCCAGCAGGATGTTCTCCAGTTTGAGATCGCGATGGCAAATCTTGTGCTTGTGACAGTAGTAGACGGCGGTGGCCACCTGGCGGAAGATTCGGCGCGCCTCCTCCTCGGTGAGAACCTTCCTTTCAGACAGATAGTCGTAGAGCTCGCCGCCAGCGGCAAACTCCATAACAAGCACCATTTTCTCACGGTTCTCGAATACTGAAACCATGTACAGAGTTAAATGCCTGTTTATTTGCCTTTTATTGTAACCAGAATAATTACCTTCGTAGATGTGGATGATGTTTGGATGATGCACTGAGCTCATGATCTGCACCTCGCGCCGGATGCGCACTAAATCAGCCTCGGCCTCGATTTTGCACTTCTTGATAGTTTTAATGGCCACCTCTTGGCCGGTTTCCTTATTAATACCTAATTGCACCTTGCCGTAGGTGCCTTGTCCTAGTTTCTTAATAATATCAAATCTGCAAGGAATAAGAAACAGGAATGTTATTACATTTATGACTACATTTAAATAGATTTAAAAGTTTATTTCAACCTAAGCATATTAAGCTTCAACTATCCTAGATTATCAAATATCCTCACTCAGCCAAATTAGTGCGAGAGATGGAAATAAGCAAACAGCAAAACAAGCAGTCGCTTGAAAGTGGCACCATCTATCGGAAAATGCTCAAAACTTTTTAATTTTCTTGTAAATTTCCATTGGTATTAATAAGAACCTTTTACTCTACGAGCAAAGGGTATTAATATTCTGAAGAAGAAATGAGGTACGTAATTTGAACATTTTTAATATTTAATTTATTTAAATTTTAAAGTCGAAACATTTTACGCTAATGTTGTCCATCAATTTACAAAGAAACCAAGCCTAAACTTGGGACAATTTATTAATTTATAAAAATTTTACAGAATCATAAATTAAACATTTTGTGAAAAATAATCATTTGTAACCTATTAAATTGTAAATTAAATGATAATTGTTAAAGGCTAAAATAGACATAGCTACAAACAAATAGGTAAGCAATATTTATATTTCAAATTATATTTCAAGTTGCACTCAACATTTAATCATAAAACCCCATTGCCAATTACCTTAGTTGGGTTTTAGAAATATTGATTTGAATTTACACAAGGACCACTCACCTTTGTCGCAGCTTCTTGCGGTGATTGTTCATTTTGACGTCGCCCGTATTGGCGATGCCGCTCATGATATTGTCTATTTGATCCTGCGGTATCCCAGAGGGATGCGCCAGACTGTTCCCGGTTGCATCGAGGCCCGTTGGAGCAGCTGACTGTGCTGCTGATGTGGCGCCCGCTCCTCCCGCCGCTCCATTGGGCGCCGCTCCATCGGGTTTGCTTATCACCATGTCTGTGGATGTGGATGTGGGTGGTTATGTGGGCGTGGAGGACTCAGATCTGGCTGTGATTGCGGTGGATGTAGCTGCTACTGTTCTCAAGGCTGGATCTGGGACTGAGGCTGAGGCTGGAGATGGGGCTGGGTCTGATGGCGAGGCTGCTCCACTGACAGCCGATGCAAATTACTGCAAGAGAAGGAGAAAGGATGGGGAATCCGTTAGCAAACTGAACCAAACTCTCGGACAGCACTCATCCATCAAACGTTCAATCAAATGGGCAATCAATTAATTATCCACGAGGCGAGTGGGTGGAACAGTGAAGTGAAGTGAAGGCAATCGCTCTCGGGGATTGACGTGTGTATGGAAAAATCTGGCAAAGAGTTGCTGGTAACTGTGACTGCACTTCGCCCTTCCTCCTGACTGGCCAAAAAATAGAAAGTAGGAGAAGAGCAGCCAAAAATCTACACTCGACCCAGTTTTTAATTATGCCCAAGCAAGGCTGCTGGGAAGCATTTACTTTGGGCCATCATATTTACCGCGCAGTGTCATAAAGATTTTATTTGTTTAAAAATGTTCTTAGCAATATTTTATCAAAATATATACACATTTTTCAGGGCTTGCTTTTGATGAGGTGCCAAAAGATGTCAAAAGCATCAGAAATGTCTTCTCTTGTCAAAGAAAGCAGTTTTGCAGATGAATTGTTGCTTCCATTTTTGACTTACTGTCAATGTATTTATAAATAAACTAAAGCTAAAAGGAATTAAAATAAAAAAAAACTCTTATTTTAAGAGATTTGTTTGTTTAAAGGAAATATTTGAGAACCAAGAATGTAAAATAGAAATGCAATATAGAAAATAATTATTTTAATGTTTGAAAATAAATATGGAACATTTCTTTCGATGTTCAAAGGTACAGATATACGCTTTTTAATTTCAATTATTAAATTATACACTCAAAATAAAATTGACCCTAAACTTTGAAAATCACCATTCAAATGTATCTTTTTCTAAATACAAGAAATTTTTTATAAGCTCAATGAAACTTTTTCTAAAATCAAGAAAGCGTTTATTAATTGTTTGAAATGGTTCTCATAAACTAGAATCGCCCTAAATAAAAAAAAAATAGAAAGGCTAAATAAAATAATAAAATATTTAGACAACACCTTTTCTAAATATGATTACCCTAACCCTAAAATGAAGCTAAACCTAAAAAAGAGAAATGTTTTCTAAAAAGTAGAAAGTTTTTTTAAAAAATAGAAACTTTATTTTTAAATGTAGACATAATTTAAAGTATTTTTATTTCTTTGTTATTTATTCAAAGCTCCACAATATTTTAAATTGTTTAAGTTCCCTGCTTACAGAATGCTCTATTCTAGCGACCCACATCTATCTGGCTGGCTCTGCTTAAAGGTCCGCCAAGTGTCTGGCTTAAAGTGGTCACTTGTAAAGCCACCGCTCCGCCAACTCATCGCTCCGCCTCCGTTTCTGCTATTGTGTTGTCTGAATGTGGATTGCGATGCTATTAGAGAACTAATCTATCAGCATTGTGGAGCAGTTGCAGCACTGCAACTATGAGGACTTGCCCGTCTCTTAAGCTGCAGCGTTTTGTCTCTGACAGTTATGACCGCACGACCGCCAGGGCAGGCCAGCAAGCCAGCAAGCCAAGAATAAGGGAAAGACCTAGTAAATATGGTAGCATTAGAATGGAACAGAAGGGGGCGACAGAGATACGGATACGTAACGGACAGATAGAAGCCACTCTAGGGTCTCCCCTTTGGCTGGCAACGTTCCAATTATAAATGTGCACTTGATGGCTAGTAAATTAAAGTGTAACCACAACAGAAACCCAGGCAGCCGTGGGCCATCTGCGGAGTTGGGCACGAGCCACCACCATCGCCGAGCACCGACAATCGACAATAACAATGCCCGGCTGCAATTGTATCTTTAAGATACGATTACACAGATGCATAACAAATGTGCGAGGCACGCGTGCAGCTCCTCCTCCCCCTCCAGCGCTTCACACACATAAATAAGTTAATCTTTACACGCAATTATATTACCAGCCCCCTTTACAGAGAAAGAAAAAAATATCAATTGAAAGGAATGGTTCTGGTGTACGTAAATCATTGTACTCTGCTAGCTTAAATTTCTATCCAAATGATTACATTTTAATAATTCATAACTTAAGAAAGCTTTTAGACAAAATCGAAACAAATAAATACACAAATCAACATTGTGAAGCTTTAAGATTTTTTAAATTTGTATCATCAATCCAAAGTGAATTTAACTGCATTTATTTTGGATTTAGTTTTTAATACATTACTTTAGATTTTTAACGAGAAAGGAAACGTTACGGGAAAATAAGAAATTTACTAAATTTATAAGCCCATTTCCTTTGAAAATCCCCAGAAAATCGTAAAATACTGTTTTTTTATCGATGTATCTAGAAAATATTATTATAATAAGTTCCTAGAAACAACAGGTATCCAAACAGAATTTTTTCTCGGTGCAAAAGAAAGAGAGTGAGAGATAGAGAGGTGCTCTGATTCTTTTTTTGATTTTATATATCTTAAGCATCTGCTTGGTAGAAGCCAAAGCCAAAGCCAAATCCAAAATCAAAATCAGGGCAACGAACAGTTTTCAAAGTGCGCTGAACTCGGCGTTCGCCGTTTGCCGTTTGCCCGATGCCTTCAATTTCGCATCTGCAAGATACAATAACATTGCGAGGCGTCCAGTCTTTGCTATTTATTTATTTTCTTTGCCCTCCCTATTTTTTGGCACTCAGACAGCACATGTCATTGAGCAGCTAGCGAAACAACTAACTATGCGAATCTCGATGAGGATGAAGATGGGGATGAGAATGGCACCCGGCAGAGATAAACACGAGCGAAGACGGCGGCCACGCCCCCCATCCGCCATGCCGCCCCCTCCCTTTTCCTTGACAGTCAGAAGTTGTTGAAATATCTGCGCTTGCTTTTCCGTCAGTTTGGAATTTCTTGCATCGCTGTCGTTTACGTAAAGGGAAAATATTTTCTTCTATTTTTTTTTCTTTAGTTCGCTTTCATTCTTTTTATTTTTTTTGTTTTTGCACCGCTGCTGTTTTCGACAGGAACAGCAACAATAAATTCCATCCAGATAGGCAATGTAAATATGCAAATGAGAATGTTTTTCTGGGTCAAGTCAAGTGCGACATTTTGGCCAAGTTATTTCAGTGACTGTCTCAAATATTTGAATTTTCCTCGGTCCGCTTGAATTCCATGCGAACGATCCCGATCCATCCAGCCAAGCGGTAAATTCCTCATATAATCGAGAATAAGAATAGCATAAATTAATCAACGGCCATAAACCGATGATAAAAATCGTGTTGTGCAGAGAAATGAAATGAATTCAATGGCATAATTGAATTTCAGCTTCAATGTCATTCGGTGGGAGGAAGTGGGTAGTGGTGAAAAAAAAGGAAAAACAAGTGACAAGAGCGCAGCAACAAAGGGCAAACATATCGAAATATACGGCCAGGGAAAATGACAAATTATTTGTGTTTTAAGAGAATTCCACTCGGACAAGCAAAATTGATATTCAAATGCGAGTAAATCAATTTCAATGCGATTGTCTGCAAAATTAAATGAATTTCCCTGTTGATAAAATAACATTTTGCTGATGGGCCTTAATTGAATAATTGTAATGACATATTCTAGGTGGAACGATGAGGCTCAAGGGTCTCCACTTTATGCAATTGATTGAAAAATATTAAATTTAATTAAATTTAAAATTGAAGCTCACATCGGTTCATTGAGTAGAGTGTTCAAACAAAGGCCATTAATTAAACAACAAAAAATTAATCAGTTAAAAGCATGAATATTAATTATATTGCTTTGTCATTACTGAACTCTTTAGAAAATTGAAGGAAAATAAAGTGAAACAAAATTCAGATAATAACCAAATATTGTATTCAAAATCTAAATCAGAAAATCATACACTAAATATTATGAAACATATAAACATCGGCCAAATATATATACTTTTGTGTATATAAAACATGTATGAAAGCGCCAATGGAATGCCAAGTATTTTGACAAAGTAAAATCAAGAGAATATAGAAATCATTGTAGTCTGTTAACCTCTCTTCTTATATCAAACCAATTACATTAATTTATTGTATTAGAATCAACATCTTCACTGCCAAAACAAATTTTCGTCTGTGCAGCTCGGGTAATTAAAAGAAAACAAACCGAAAATACAAAGAGAATACGAATTTATGTTGTCTGAAATCTAATAAATAATACACAAATATATGTAGATAAAACATATACAGCTGTGAAAAAAATAATAGCACCACTAACCCAAAAAAATTTTAACTAGTAACCCTACTCACATTTTTTAACATTTTTAACTTTTCAAAACGGGTTTTAAATAGTAAGACTAAACATAATTTGAATATGAAAAAAAATGTTAGCTTTATAAAAGGTTTCTGGACTTATTTAAGAAAATCTATGCAAAACTGGAAAAACGTACGAAAAAAATAATAGCACCACTTCTCTAAAAATAGAATAAAAGGTAGAAAAATGACAAATGGGTAACTTAATCTTTAGTTGGCGGTAGCTAACAAGTAAATCTAAGTTTAATGTGTAAATATCTTTTGCGATTTTTGGATATAATGACTTACTATCGATTAAACAAGTCAGGACCCTACCTATAAAGGAATTGGGGCCCAAAAGTCATGATATATTTTCAAATTTTGTTCGGAAATGATTTAAGACGTTTTAGATTAACTGTATAAACTGTCTTTAAAAAAAAAACTCGAAGATTTTTGGTTGTGTTATGGTCAAGCGAGTACACAAGTCACTGTATATTGCTGACTGAGTACTTTCGAACTCTTTCTTTGCTATCCTGACCGTGATCCTAGCCGGATTTTATTGGTCAAAGATTCATTTAAGAAGTATTTTGTATTCAGTTTAAGCTACGAATTACTACCGTATTACTAATTACATCATAGGATGATTCATGAACGATGTATTCATCCGTATTGATCTTACTCCAAGAAGGAAAAACAAGCCTATGTTAATACTAGGTCCATGCTCAATAAATAGATGTTTTGGTACCATGTTTTTGGTCATTTTAGGTGTTTAGAAGACACATGACTTATAAAAAGGATTTCTTCTTACCCAATTTAACTTTGCCTTCACACATTCTCATAAGTTTGCGGGCATTCATTTGTAAGTTTTTTTGACGAGCCCTATGCCCTTGTAAATGTGTTTCGCATTTCGGATAGGATTTTTTTTTAAGTGCATGTTTTATAAATTTGTTTATTGAAACATTATCCAACTATTAAAATATTCTCTATTATTTTAAGCACGTGTTTTAGTTTAGTATCGGCCCTGATAAGATTCTTTGTGCTTTGTGATATAACATTTTTGAAGGAAAACTGGGCCAGGACTCGGTTTTTCTGTGTTATCCTTCAAAGTTTATGCCATTCTTAATGAATATGATCCAAAACCTAACCAATCCAACCGGTTTTCATGACCGTTTTCCATCCAATATGTTTCTTTTTTGAATATTTTTCTTTTCCGACTTGGAAAATTTTCCAGATGTCCTTGTATTGCCAAATGGTAATCAATTTGATGTCTGGATATCAGGAGAAGTTAGTTTTAGTCAAATCTCATAAAATATATCCTTTATACACAAGAATATTAGCGCATCGTAACGTTTTATTTAAAGAAAACGGAAGTGGTGCTATTATTTTTTTCGGCCTTTTTTTGACTTTTTTTCTTAAAATCTGAAAAAATTATATGTAGACAATATTTTCGATATCCGTATCAATTTTTTCAAATAGGTGGAATACTAATCAAGATAATAAAAAACACTTCTTATATAAAAATCCCCGTTTTCCGCATATTTCTTTAATATTAAGAACCTGTGACGAAGTGGTGCTATTATTTTTTTCGCAACTGTATGCATGGCCGTCTCCCTGGGCAATTAAGGCAAATGTCGGGCAATGTGAAGTGTCAATAAGTCAAAAAGTTCCCGTTCAATGGACGCAAAACGAGAGCAGACAGACCAAATGCCAACCCAAATCAACATCAGCATTAATTGCGTTAAATAAATCGGACGATTTATTGTCTTTGCTCATCTCAATATTCCTGTGAATCTGAAGATAATATTTATGCAATTTATCAAATTGCCAGACATTAAGAACAAAAAAAAGAACTCAAAGTACACAAGATAAGTTTAAGGTCCTCGAGGGTCAAAGCCTTAAATTGCCTCGCAAGAGCATAGGGCAAGCGGAAAAAATAAATAAAGACGATCAAGCAAATAATTAAAATGTTGCGAAAAAGGAAAGGAAAAATTAAACGCACAGCAAAACAATTTTTTGTTTGCATCTATTTTTTTTTTTGGTTAATGCCACAGGCTAAACACAAGCCAAACAAAAGGCAGGCAAAAAAAAATGCTAAATAAAATAAGCGAGCCAGCGAAAGGAACAAGACATGTCAAGCATTTCCTTTGCTTCCACAAAAGTTGGCCAACACACACAGGCCAGCACCCACACACCCACGAAAAACTGAAACTTTCCTAGCTGGCTGGTGGAAACCAGAATTTAACGCTTCTCGCTCTTTATGCCGGTGCCGAAAGAGCTGCAGGCCAAAAGTTTTCATTTACTCTAGCTTCCCCCACATGAAAATGGCCATCGTAACGAGTTCGCTGCAAAAGCAACAGCAAGGGCAATGGCAAAAGCATCTGCAAACTGCAAATGATGAATTCCGCTCATAGTGTCCCCAAGGAAAAACTAATATTTGCAAATTGGAACCGAATACGAGAAAAGTTTTCGTTTGCTACAACATTTGACGCCACAACGGTAGCTGAATAATGAGCTCTGAAATTGCAATAGCTGTGCAAAATAAACAAATTTAAATTATTTCCGCTTAAACCGCCTACCGATTACACTAAATTAAGACATTAATGCGGATTTATTTTGATATGATTCTACTCACAAAAATACACACCCTGCGATCAAATCGATATGCGCATGGTATATTTGTGGTATTTATTGGCATATCGTTTTTACCATGCAATGCTGTTAGCATTAATATTAAATAATAATATAATAAAAATAATATTAAATAACTTTGAAAAAGAGAGGAAGAAGCTGGTGTAAAATGAATTGTATTAAAAATTGGATAACGGTGGAAATATACTGCATTACATGTCTTTCTTTTCCCTATTTATTTACATTAATATACTTGACTAAAAGATTTCGGCGGTCTTCACCTTAAAGACTATTGTAAAATATTGCATAGTTTACGTTTTTCGTTCTTTTGCTAAACTTTCAATGTTAAATATTTTAGTTGAAAATTGGTAGCTCGCTTAGTTACTTTGTTTGAGTTATGCAAAATGTACATACACCCGAGAGCTGAATGGAAAATATTTGTGCGCTTTGTTGTCACCAGCGTAAAGTCATAGTATTGTGCAAATTTTGATATTTTAGCTTCCCCGTTCTGTTTCGTTCAGATCCGTACCCTCCACTTCACTCCCTGAGAATCTCCGCCCAAATTGACGTTGTTTTGGTTGCGTTGCCTGTGCTTTTGCCACTGCCATCGTCGCCTTTTGTTTGACACTTGAGTTGTGACATTGTTGCCATGGCCAGGTTCGTTGTCTGTTGGTCTGCCAATGTCTGTCGCCTCCGTCGTCCGACTGTCCATTTTCACGGATATTGCATTTGACAAACTGTAGTGAAATAAAGGCCCTGCCTAATTGCCATTTTGGTGAGGTGGTGAGTTTGTTTACAGTCCGGCTGACAGGCAACGAAGGAGCTTAATTACAAGCAACCGATTTGGCCTGAACAGGTTGATCGGATATTAATGAGGTCATAAATCTTCGGGACAGGATGCCTGTTCATTCTATTATCTTCCAGCTGGGAAAATAAGGCACTTCCCTTTTGCCAATAGCCATTATGTTTAAGCTGCTTTGTTTGGCTTGCAAAATTTAATGCATTATTGCACAAATAATATATTTTGTTTATACACCCCAAGTTGTACGTATTACATTCAATTAGCTGTGGCATAATGCAGCGCACTTAAGCCAAGTTAAGGCCAACCGGCGTATACGTAACACATTTCTGGAACTGAAGGGTTGGGCTGCTCCTTTGTGCAATTTTCAACTGCCACCCACACACACACACAGACTTCTTCCAAGCGGAAAAATTGAAAAGAGGATAAGATCGGGCAGGAAAAACTGTGATAGATGTTGAAATAATTACACCGAGCATGCAATGCAATTTAATTTCGCTAATTTGCAAGATCTAATTTGTGTATCAGGCGGAAACTTGTAATATTTTGTGGGGTTTTGCTTTCTTATGCGGCATTAATGCAGCGGCGAGAGCTGAAATTCCTTGAGAGCAATCGCCAGACGAAGACGTCGCCGTATTTAAAGTCTCGTATCTCCGCGCAAGCGAGAAAACAAAATTAAAAGAAATTTTTAAAAATAACTTTTAGCTAACACGCAAGAGGAATTTTTATTTGAGCAAAAGACCAGAAAAGCAGCATCAGCATCAGCGGCGCAGCAGTTGAAATAAAAAGTAAAAGCAGCCAAGAGAGGCAACGGCAACTAGAAAACATACCCCAAAAACTAAATAGCATAGATGGGACGTGGATGTGGAAGATGATGATGGTGATGCGATGGGATGGGAACGAGGAAGCGTTACCGCAGACACCAAGACCAAGACCACAACCGAATCCGAATCCGAATCTGAATTCGAAATACGTATCTGAAAGATACTTGTTGTTGGGATCTGGTGTATTTCGTCGCTTTTTTGGGATAATACTATTATAGATACACACCGAGATATTTGCTATCTCTTCCTTTTTGCTCACTTTTATGGCCTTTTCTTCGTATTGCAATTTTTCATGACCAGCTCACACAATCACACACAAAATTTCACATTTTACTTTTCGTCAAACTGAGAAATAATTTTCTTTTTTCCTCCTCCACCATATGTAGTATAATTTTCGAGTATATATTTATACCGTGGGCTATCTGTGCACATATATATGTAGATATCTATAGGTATTTTTGGGTATATATTTGGTATATATACAAAATATTTCGCGCACTGGCGGCCTTTGGACGCCTTGCTCGCGTTGCTCTATGCGCTCGACTGAAAAATTTTCCTCGATTTTTCCCGAGGAAAATATAGAAATCCGCTGAACATCGCCCGCTTGCCGGTGCTCTTTGGGGCCCATTGTTATCCTAAAAATAAATGCACTATTCTCTCCCAAAAAAAGGCGATCTCTCTTTTTCGATCTCTATCCTATATCCACACACATATAACACCAACTCTGTCCCGTCCCTCTTTTCTCTCACGTGCGTCGGCTCCTCCGATTTTAGAGCGAGGCGCGTGCCACGATGGAGCGGCATTATGTGTGAACCGATCGCAATCACGATCACTGCATACAGATATGTATGTATATTTGTATATTGGGGTGTCTATAAGACGTTGTTTATACGCATGTGCTGCTGTGGGCGCATATATGTATACATATATCCTATGTAAACAGCTGCTCGAGGGCGGGGGCATTGGCAAATGAGCCATTGATTTATTTAGATATAATTTCCTTATTTCTTTATACGCAAGTATACGAATTACAAGGCTGGTAGATTTACAAAGGTCACCGAGTTGGTCCAACATTGCATGTGCAGGAAGTATTTCTTTCGAAAATAATTCTGAAGAGGATAATTCTGACGTTTAATAATAATTATATTAATAGTATTAACTAATGATTTGATTATTCTTTTAATTTACCTTTCGGTTTTTATTAAATTAAAAGTGTTGGGCTAATGAAAGTCCAGTTGATAATATATATCTAAGATATTTAAAAACAATTAATACAAATCAATGTAATTTTGATATTTAAACACTGCTTTCTTTAGTATGCTAACCTATAAATCTTAAAAAAAAAACTAGTATAATTCTCATTTAATCCATTTCAACTAGTTCTTAGAAAACCTCCCAAATATCTATTAATGTTTCAGAAGATTGTAAACACAAATGAATGCCAAATTTGGACTCTGCACACCTCTCTCCATGGGCAACTTCAGTGTTTATTCAGGTAATTTTATGTGCATGCCCCAGACACACTTTGGCCCGAGTGTAACATTCTTTTGGCCCTAATACGGACTGGGGAGAAACGGATGGATGGGAAGACCTGCTGAGTCCCGTTTATCCATCAAGCAGAAGTTGCTTGGCATTACTCAATGCTCAGCTGGGTGGCCAACAACATTAATCAACAGAGTCGAAAGCATGTAAGCACGCTCACACGAACCCAGTAGCTTTGAGGAGCTGGAACTCAGTGAGTATGTTTGTGCCCATATATAGGTCTATGTCTATCCATCCACACCGTACCCGAATCTCCCCAGTCACTGATTTGGCCCTGCCTCTAATGCTCCGACTGTAAGTAGATTGGGCCCTGGAAATGGTTCTAGTGCGGCCTACACTACGGATTAGAATGGTTAAAACTAGAATTCTTAAGCAATAACCTCTTTTTAAGGACTTTAATTTTGAAACAAATTGTAAGTCATTAAAAACTAATGCTAATCCAATCATTAAGTCTTTGGCACACTTAGTTAGGATATAAAACTAAATACAATTTAAAATTCTAGTTTAAGAAACTTTTGTTGCAAGTGCACGTCTATTTTGCATTTTCACATGCAAGGGCGGGCAAAATATTTCAAAGCTTATCAGCGCTGGGCAAACAACCGGCCAGAAATACTTCAGACCACGATGGTTGACGCTGATGGTGATGATAACTACGGGGATGATGATGATAGTGTGGGCGGGGCAACAGCATAACTGCATTATATAACCTTTTAAATGCCTGTTCAAACATTAAATATTGCATTATGCCAAGTTTATCACCTTTTCAGTCGAAGGCAGGGCAAATATTTGCCCGGCTCAAAGTGGGCGACCATATTCCCCGTATTTCCGTCGAGGAAGCGACCGAGAAATGGAGCACGCTGACGATCCGAGACCGGGGTAATGTAATTGGAAGGCTACGACTATGGCTACGGCCGGACTGGAAGCACATGGTTCACCCGGAGGCAGCCGGGCAGACAAATAGACACCAGACAGGCAGTAAGTCAAAACTTAATAGCATAAAGTGAGCTTATATAATTTCCGCACGCCATTTTTACTCGCACTATAATGGCACTGCGGAAAACTTTATTGGGAAAATTGATTTTTAAAAAGGAAAACTAACATTTTTTGAAAATATGCTAAATTTGATACTAAATTGAGAAAATTATTAACCGCTTTTGTATATTGTTAATTTTACTTATTAAATTGTAACTCTAAAATTAAAATCCATACAATTAAATTGATTGAATCTACTTCTTATACATATTTATATTATCAAAAATAAATTAATATAAAAAGAAACAAAGTTTTTGATGTGGACATTATTGGTTAAAACTCATTTAAAACTAATGCTTTCTCTCAAAAGCCTGCAGATAAATATTTCAGTTTCAAAAATTAAATGCTTGGAAATCGAAACATTTTGAGCCATCAGATGGCCCTGTTTTTCCGAGTGTTGGTAAATATTTAATGTGAGTTCGGGTGGGCTTAGGTGTGTGCGTGTGCCATCAAATGATCGACCTAGTTAAGACCCCGCCTTGCCTCGTTTTCGCCTTATGTCTGCACTTGGTGCATGCAACAGCAAAAAGTCACTCAAAAATAAAGAAAAGTGAGAAGAAAAAAAGGAAAGTGCAAAACTTGCATGCCAAAAACGTCGCCAACGACAAAAAGTAGAAAAAAAAATAAATAAAAGCGAAACAAAAACAAGTGAAATCAGAGTGTAGGAGGAGTCGGAAAAGCAGGAAAGGGGCTGATATATACCATGTGCGTGCCTGCATTTCGGGTTGCCTTATAAATAAACGCGACATTGCTGGAATTTTGTTTGTGTGCCAACTTCAACCGGAAATGCCATTTTCGCTGACTGCTCAACTTTTTGTTGGTTCAATAAAGCCCGGGGGAGTGGAACAGGGGCTTTCCATACATGTACGCATACGTATACGTAATATTTGCGTATAGCATACGCGTGAGCTGAGTGCTGTGAAGGTGCTCGTAAATCGCTAACTTTCGCTTGAATCGACAGCGCATACTTAAAATAGTTTACCATAAAAGTGCGCGGGCGATGATTAAAAACGCAACTTGTATGAATTTCGAAAAGTTTTCTCCTCCTAATCCTAATCCCCTCCTTTACACCCAATCTTCCTTGAACTAATAGTGTTAAAAGTTCTTATGGTCTTTTTGGGTTGTAATTTGGCTTAAGGGACTTAGATGTATTAACGTTTTTTGAGGTATTCCTTGTCTTTGATTAGTTTATAAGGTATTTATTAAGGTTTTTTTTGTTGAATAAAAATTCCTGATCTAAATATCAAATGATCTGGATCTCTGGATGATCCAGAGAATCCCGAGTGGGAGAGAAATCGGTATTGCACAGTAAAAACTATATGCGTATAAATACAAGAAATTTACCATGCGCATATCGATTTGATCCCGGCGTTTTTTTTTCTTTCTCAGTAACCCCTTATAAAGAGCAAACAAATAAAGCAAGTTTTTAAATTTTAAAGCTTTAAATCCTTTTGACAGAACGGGCACTTGCTTTCACCTTTTGCAGCCAAAGTAAAATTCTTTTCCATTTAGTTTTTTTTTCCAGAACTACCATTTCATGTCACACCTGCATTCATTTCATTGCACGCGTCAAATTTGCCTGCGCCTGAATGGGAAATGGGTGGCCAGCCGTCTAAAGGACGCAATAGCTACAAAATGTCCTTTTCAGCCTGCGCATGTGAGTGTGTGGGTGTTCTTGCGGGTGTGGGTGTGCATGTGGGTGTTAGCCAGTTTTTCTGTGGGCCATTTAAGCTGTGCGTAATTGACTTTTTGCATGACGCTGAGATAAGCTTTAGTTATGCTAGCTAATTGTCAGGGGAGACAGAGTGCGATAATTGCATTCTTTTGGAAAATTACAATGACGACATCAGGAGTAAATACTCGGAAGAATAAAGAGAGCGAGAAGTGACTTAGCGATTGCAGTTTGTGCCCCTAGCTGGATAATTATTTTGTGATTTGCTCACTTAATTACACAAGTAAGCCACTCTGCCAAGAGCAACAACAAACATCCACAAACAACATAACGACAACATAAGCAGCACGGGCAACAACATCTCGGTTTTCACTCATTTACTTAATTGAGTTGTCGTTGGCGTTGTCGTTGTTGCCGCTGCTGCTGTTGTTGTTGTTGTTGTTGTTTGGGCTTGTTTCTTTTGTGGCCAAGTTGGCGGACCAGGCCAAAACGGAGGCCAACCGAGGTGGGCGTGGCCGGGCTGTTATTGTTGCTGTTGCTTGTGGCATAATTTACGGTTGTAATTGTCGCTTTCGCATCGTGGCTTTTGTTTTTGCATGCCCCTCCTCCGCTTTCTCCTCCTCGTCGGCTTTTTGTTCGAGTCTCCACTGTACGGGTGACACATGCTGAGAGTCACGCGCTTCACTTGACGCAAATTGCTTGCGGCAACCACTTAATCAGCAACATTTTGCACTCCTTTCGGCCAAGACGAAGAGTGCCGGGCCGAGAACAATTGGAACACACAAACAGCAACAGCAACAGTCGAGAACGTGGCGTATACGTAATGTTCTCAGAAGGACTTTTCAGTTGTTGCC